ACACAAGCACTAACACAAACACCAACACAAACGTAGCATGCAACCACAAACGCACATGCAAGCACAAGCGCGCAAGCACAAACACAGCAAGCAAACAAGAATGCAAAACACAAACACAAGCACAACCATACAGGCTAACAAAAACAACACAAGCGCAAGCGCAAACACAACCGCAAACCCAAGCGAAAACAAACAACGCAAATACCGTAAGCAAAAAGCACAAGCACCGCAAACAAAGAAACACAACAAACAACACAAAAACGAAAACAAGCGCAAGCGCCGCAAGCACAAGCAACTCCAACTGGGCGCTCATTTTGCAGGTGGCCTCGTCTTCCGGCGCCAGGTGGGTGCCTGGCAGCAGGGCTTGCAGCAGCTCTGAGAGCTTGGCCAGCGGGAAGGACGAGCTCAGGAACCGGTCCACCGCGCCTCTCGGCCCAGTGCCCGGTTCGGTTTTGGCCGAAGAAGCTGACCCGTTTTGGCGAGGAAGGGGGGTTACTGTACGCTTTTGAGGTGTACCTGGGGAGATGTGAGGTCTTATGCTGTCCAAGGTTGTTTGCGAAGCCGCTTTGCGCGGGTCAACAAGTGGGGCACTTTGGGAGGTGGCAATGTGTGGCGCCACGTTTGCAGAGAAACTCCTAGATGGGTTAAGGATGAAAGTAACAAACTGTGAGCAACCATGTTTTCTGCGTTGGAGATTACTGCTCCTGAAGAAAGAACAAAGCGAAATGTGCTGCAGCAAAGTATCTATCATGTCATCCTAGATCCACTGCAGCATGTTCTAGAAATATCATGTTGACCAACCTATAGTAACATAAAGAAAAAGGAAGAAGTAAGCAAACATAAGTAGGTTCTAAGGTGATGTTTTGGAGAGGTAGGACATAATTCCCACTAACGATTACTGTGCCAGTGCTTGGTACAGGTACGACGATTGTAACAAGTCCAGCATATGCTCTAGTACCACTTTCTAAACATACGATATACAATGATGTCCCCAACCGGACTTCCTACGGATAAAACTAGATGACATGCAAAGACCGTTCCTTACTTGGCGTTTAACGGTGAACCCCCAGAAGTTAGTATGGCAGTGATCCCAAAGAGCAAGACAAACGATATTAAGACGAGGATCACAAGAATGCTATGCAATGAAATGCTTATATGATGAAAGTTCTGGGTTTCTGGAGTGATGAATGACTGTTCCCTGAATTAATGTTCTATTCTTATGCGGACTGATATTGATGTACCGCGGGCGCCAAAGATGAGTCCAAGTAATAATGTACATGCTTCCCACAACTTCGAGTTAGTGATTGAAACACAATAGTGAAATTCTAATTTAAAACAGACATACTATAAGCCTTTTGACAACCTATTGTTTGTCTATGGTTCCAATTCATTCTAGGATTGTTGTCTATGTCGTATCCGTTCGATTTCCTGAGCTGCTAGGATACGCAGTAACCAACCAAGAAGTCAGTTAAAGCCCGGCGGTTGCACTCGCGCGCATCACCCGACACCTGACGCCTTGAAGACCTGAAGACCTGCGTGTCTTCGTGTCTTTTCCTCCCCATTTTGAGGCCAGCCCAGTGGGTCGGCAAGACACTTTGCCACTTCGGGGGAATCAGACTAAACCATTGCCGCCCGCCAAGAGGGTGTCCAACAGGGCGTAATGTGCGTTTGACAACCTTTGGTTGAATAAGTCGGTCATCGTCATTCAACGCTGATTGATTATCGCCGCCTCCAATTGAGGAACACGGCCCCAAGTGGCTGCCTCCTCTGTTTGATGCCGTGCGTTCGATTTCTGCTTCCCATCCAGCAATGTCTATTGATCTCATGTTAACGGAGATTCACATTGCTTTGTCACGGAACGTGACAACCTAACCAAGACTTACAAACCATGACCTGGGCATGAGGGCCCTTGGTACGTGAAGGCTTGGAGCATAGGGGCACAGGAGCACGATGCGAAAGTATGCGGGGTTCGCATACGTTTTGTTGTCTTTACATGGGAGACAAAAACAACATGTCAAGCTCTCTTTGACCAAGACACGTTTCGAACCAAGGCAAGTTTCAACTGTCCAAGATGGGTGCAAAAGTGCCCTGCAACACACTTTCGGGCCACGGAGCGGCGCCCCCAGCGCCTGGGATTTTGGTCACCAGGGTCACCAAGAGCCGCACTGGCGGGTCGACGGTCTCCAGGCTTTCCGTGGAGAATGTCACCTTCTCGAGGATCTGTTGGACCTAAACAGGTGGTTGAAACCACGGGGCTGAGCATTTTTTCCGACTCCACACCAATTGGTTCATGCGGATGAAAGAAGATCGTGTCAAAACCCGAAGGCGTAGGTGAATGGCCACCGCTGAACAAACCAACAAACCACAAGTCGGACTTGCGCCAAAGCACATGTCGGAGGATGCCCGTCTCCAACTCTGCGCTGAGGTCCGGAGACGTGGCCACCAACTTTGCGGACAGCAGGCAGGCGCGCGTGGAAACCACCAGGGCTTCGCTCTCGGGAGCGGAACCTCAATGCGTCTGCGTTTAAAAGACTGCAACAAAAAAAGCGGTTCCAAGACTAGAAGTAAGGGGTCCCCAAGTACTGGATCTTCATCTTGGTCGCTTCATGCAAGTGAGGTCGCCAAAGAATGTTTAAAATCAGGCGCATTGAGATGTGGCATCCCAGGTGTGAATCTTATCACTTCAGCTGCGCAACTTGGCTAGATGGAGCCGACAGGGACACTGCAAGAAGTGACAACGTGTCGCCAGTGAGCAGGGGGAATGAAGGACACCCGAAAGGGCAAAAGGGCCAAACGGCAAAAATGTTACACTTCTGGCCGTTTGCAATATGACGGCCGCACAACTGGGGGGGTCTCGGAATTTCAAGACACACCCAACACACTCCAGCCCCTTTTCCTCCATTTGCTTAAGACCTAAGACCCCTGGGAAAATAAAGATAGATTCCCTTTAAAACCAACAGGGGAAAAACTTAAGCAAATGCGGCATTCTCAGACCCGGGCTCGACGCTGAGGGGCTGTAAGCTTCAGGGTCAATCAAGCCAGCAGCGACCTCCAGGGGCCAGTTGCTCGTTCAAACTCAGATCTCGTCATTAGATTTCCGCCAAACTTGATTGAAAGGGAGCATGAAGGCGCCCCAAACAAGCTGAAAGGTACGCTAAGTCTGGTGACATTTGGCGCTCCATTCCGGTTCGGGCTGGCGTATTTCCAACCCCAAGGTCCAGGTGGGAAGGGTCACTTCAAACACCGCCAAAGAAGCTGGCTTCAAATGGCAACAGGCGGTTTGTTCAACGACGGGAGCACATGGGCATGTCTTGTGCTGAGGGTAATTACCTCAATGCAAAGCGAAACCGAAGGAAAACCAAAGGGGAACCACTTGACCCCTGGCCGCTCACGTGATTCTTTTCTAGCTTCCTTGCAAACAATCATCCGTCCCGAATAAGAAACATGCAAATGACATTGACTCCAATCGCCCATTTTGGGGCGCACATCTCCAAAAGTTGCTTAGGATGGAATTTCCGGGTTCCAATGAGGCACACCCAGCCTCTGACAGGGTCCTTTCAACGCCTTGAAACAAGGTTGGCATAGAGGAAGCCAACTCTTTTGGCGCCGCACATTTGTCCCACCAAGTCTTAGGACTGACCTCTGACGTGAGCCCATTCGCCTCCAGCGCCCCCATCTGCTGCAAACCTACGAGAGCCCCCGGCTGCACCACCACGAGGTTCACCAAGGCCCCCAGCAGCCGCGAAGTGGCCAACTGGACCCCGCAGTCTGCTCCCTGCATCGCCTCACTGGGTTGCAAGCAACATACATTGCGTTGCAATACAATACCTAGGTCCAGTAGAGAGGTTACAATAAGGGTACCCGATTTGTTTTCTCTAGTCTATTTTAGTTAGGGGAACCCTCCCCCACAAAAAAGGAGTAAAAGGGGACCTAGTTACAGTACATGACATTTTACACATTCCGTTACGCGTTTTACAAAATCCGGATCACTCTTGGAGTTGCTTTCCAGAGTCGACCTTTGCAGTAAAGGAAAGGTGCACAGACTCACCCGCCTTCAGAGAAGCCATGACTTCCGGCTTGGCTTCTTCTCGCAAAGCCTCGGAGCAACGACCCATAATCATCATCCTATGTGTCCTTGTGGACACATGGATAATCAATGAGAAGAAACACGCAAATTCACCTAAAAGAACACCAATGTTGGAGTCAGGCCCAATTATAGCATGCACATCCTATTGTTTGCTTCAGTTTGGCACTAGCAACGTGCAACGTCCTTCCCTTCACGCACTTTGACAACTTCCGGAGTAATGACTCCAAAGATCCCAAAGGCAGTGGCACAAGGGTAGACAATGGGACGTGGGACGTTGCTTCATTTCGGGTAGACTCTTAGACAGGGTTTACTCGACCAGCCACTAAAGGTTCCCTGAGCCAAAGAAACGCATTTGGTTCCAGGGAGCCTGGCGGGGGGGGGGGGGGCGGGAAATTGTCAACGTCCAAGGGCCGAGCAACCGAAGCCAAACCCGCTTATGCCTTCTTGCTCTACAACGATTTTACTCCCCAAGAGCCACCCCTTTCCAAAACACCACCATTTTGCGTACATATTGGAAAGTTTGCGTCTGTCGTTGGGAAGGGACCCCCAACTTTAAGGCACACCACTTGGATTGGTTTCCCTGACTAATCCAATCAATTTGTTGAGAATCCGCACAGGGGACTCTTCCTTAACTCAAGAGGATTTCGCGGACCTAACAGCCCCAGCCGCGAAAGGAAATTATGGGTTCGTCTCAAAGGGATTTGTTCCCCCAAAATGGCAACGGTTTCCTTTTGGCTTCCATGCAAAACCAACCAGGGAAAAACTCAAAATTTCCAGATACCCATACTGGGCTACCCTCAGATCCCCCGCTAAAAGTTGAACTTTTAGTGGGTTAAATGGAAGCTATTACTAAACACTAAAAAGCTAAAAAGCCAAGGGGATGGCTGGGAGCCACCAAGCATATACACTTCCGGTTGAAGCCTCCCGGTGCGGTTGCGAGTGGCTGTGAGCAAGAGCTCGCTACATTTCTCCACCTCCTGTGCTTTTTTGCGCGAAAGATGGGCTTAGGTCCCGAACATCGGGTGGATTTCTGGTACACCCTTTCGCCCCTTCCCTGTTGGACACCCTTTCTGGTTTTGAACCTGGAAAAAAACAGACTGGCTGGTAGTTTCCAACGAGCCCAAGTTCCCAACGGTGAATCGTTTTCCAATAGGACATGTGACAATTGCGGGTGCCTGTCAGTTGTGCATCGTGCACACGGATGTCACCCTTTAAACACAGGAACATCAGCAACTCTGTGAGTGGGCCAGTTCATTTCAGGGCTTACATGGTTTCAGTGCTTCTTTTCCAGTTCAGGAAACACTGGGCAATCAACCACTGGGTGTCTGTTTCAATCTCCTTGACACCTGCGAACATATTCTTTCACTTGGTCTTACTCGCACAGCCACCATCGAAGGCTTCCTGAAGGTTTTCAGCTTGGGAAACCACCCATCTCCAAACCCTCTCCAGTCCTATCTCGATGTATTTTCAGCTCGGATTGCTGAGGTCCAGACTTTTCTCCAGGTTTTTGGGTCAACATGGATCCCATGTAGGTTTCCCTTTCAAGGTGGGGGGTGGGAACCCCTGTTTCCCCATCGTTTCCCGCGAGTCGTGCATGTTTCCTGGCCGGAAGGGCCCGAGCAACGGGCCGGATTCATGCACTTGAGCGGCCCTGGCTATAGCCCAGCAAGTCGGCTAAACCCCAAATCCCTTCAGGCCCCCCTGTAACCACGCCTCGGGGACCCGCCGAACATCTTCCGACCAAACCCTCCGCCGACCCGAAACCGCCCCACGCCCCGCCACCGCCCAGCGCCTCGGCCGCGGCCTTGCCCAGGCGCAGCAAGTTGCAGAGTGCCCCTGCGGCCGCGCCGCAGCGCCAGTCCATCGGCCGCAAATGTCGACGCAGAGCCGCCACCATGGGCGCCACATATCCCGAGATCCTTGGGATCAGACGGGGAAAACGGGGGGAAATGAAGGTTTTTTGAGGGCCTCTAGATTTTCTGTGCTGGTTGTGGGAGAATGGAGAATTCCTCAAGCGGAATAAGAAACAAGCGTGTACACCAATAAAAGTCGCCCGTTGCTTCAATACAATCCCAAGGAGTCTTGCGGGAACATCATGGACAGCCAGCCCTTTGGTTGTGCGAAGTATCTTCCAGAACAGGGGGAATGATTCACAAACCTGATTGACTCGAGGGCTGTTGCACCCTCTCTCTGGATCTACAATGGCAAATCACAATCGGCACGAAACGAGATCTGCGTAGACCAAGGCAGCCTCCCCTTGTGAGTCCGGACGGAAGCAAGATGTGGACCTCTAGGCCTGGGAGATGGTCGACCTGACCCCTCGGAGATGTTGTCCACCACAAACCTATAACCCCAAAGAATGGTGTGTGTTTACCATGGCAAATGCCACCGAAGAAGGAACAGGTACATACTCCACTGTTCCCTCGGGCCAAATTTTTGGGGTGGAAGCCATTTAGGCATTCAAGCGTGTCGGAACGAAACGTTTCGTCCCGGGGCCGCGGCCTCCGTGCTGACTGTCTGCCCCAAATCAGTGCGCAAAGCACAAAGACTTTGGGCTCTGTCATAAACACCCGGGAAACTGGCTAGATTTACTGGAGTGGCCACCAAGGGTTTGGGCGCCTTTCAGTTCAAAAAGACAAAACCATACCTAGCAAACCACGTGTCGTTTCACCACGCATAGCCCTCAAGCAAAGCGGCGGCAACAAGCACTGTCCTTGACAGTACACCAACAACAAAAACCAATATATTGTTACTATTGCAGACTTAAGAAACAAAGCCTTTCCGAAAACTGCCCAGAAGCAAGCTCCAAACACAAGCAACAGAAGACCCACGTTTCTTTTCCTCCTCTATAGCACCTTGTTCCGCCTGCCTGCGCCTCGCGCTCAACACGGATCCAAGGCGCTGGTCCTTGAAATGGCTCAAGGAGGCGCCCTGTGAGCAGAGGTTCCCCAGACCCAAAATGGCCAACTCCACAGGGCTCTTCCTCAAAAGCGCCTTCCGCACCTCCTCGGATGGAGCACAGGCGGCCCGGCGGAGCAAAACACCCGGTGTGCGTGCCCGTGTTTCTTTCTTTGCCGTTTTTTGGCGGTGGGCTGTTCAAAAAAAAGAAACAGTCAAATTGCAACCACCGATGTGGGGAGTTGCATGCTCAAGCGACTTAGGTTCTGACCACGGATGAGGTAGGCTTAGTCCCCATGGCCAAGTTTGAACACATGTCCAAACCAGGGGCCCACGAGAAGCAAGGTGCTACAAGAGTTGCAGTCGCTAAATTGAAAAGCTCTCCACCTTTGAAGTCCGAAGACACATTTGAGACACAAACATGTGCACAAACATGTGCACAAACATGTGCACAAACATGTGCACAAGCAACGCGCGGGTCCGAACAAACACAAGTTGCACCATGTTCAAACCAAAAGCTATGTGTGTGGGGGGGGGGGTACTTGGACAAGCACGCATTCATTCGTGTCTAAATGTGGACCTTTCAGCATCTGACGTCAACTTGTGGCTAAACATTTGAAGCTGCATGAAAGATTAGATAATAAGATTGCACATTCGAGATGGAGCCTTCGACAGTTAAGCTCAACGATCAGCTAACGTATGAGTGATCCACGTTGAGGGTCAACCAGAATGTAGCAACGTTCATCGTTCAAGGTGAACCCGTCGCTGATATTCGAATCTGCGTGATTGATGGTCAATAGGTGGCTTTGATGATAAGCTGTCAGCATCTCAGGTTCACAAGATGAACTTCTGTTTGAAGAACAATCGACAGTGGCCGTCGACTTGTTGGTCACAAGTTCAAGGGCTAAGGTTAACCATTTGACTCAAATCGTAAAGGCCCAAAACCTAAGGTTGACTTGCAGTTGGCGCAACGACGTGCTCCGCTTGAGGGTGAAACCAATGTTCCAGCAGAACTTGCCGTATGCTATTCGATGGGTCAACTGTTGACTGGTCGTGGCCCTTTCCTCAGCTCATTCAAGACCCTCTTCTTCTTTCCGGGCCGCGCCGCGTTTCTTTCGGGTGAAAGGGAAAGCGAGTTCGACCTAGACGGTGAGGGGATACCAATGATTGATATCACAGGACAGTGGGACAGCCCACCCATGTCCCAAATAAGACTCGAAAAGAGAAGGTGTCAACGCTTGACCCTTGGGCCCCATCAGAAGGCTGCGAACAGGCAAGGCCCTCAGAAACCAAACCCTCTCTTCCCACTGACACAAGCTCGTGATCCTGCCGCCCACGCGTTTTTGGAGGGGACAAGTCCCTCCCCAACTTCATGCGTTGACCACTGCGTATTCCTTCGCCTTGTATTTGCCTCGCTGTCAACAAACACCAAAGTTCGCACACCTACTTTAAGGGCTGCGACATAGGCCCTTTTGTGGTTGGGAATCCCAACAAAAATCCCAACAAAACTCCGAAAACAACGAGCCCAGCTGAAATTCTTTGAATTTCAACGAGTCTCCGCTACCGCGAGATCTGCCCCAAGGCCCAGCTTGTCGGCCATCTTCTTGGCACTGTCCTCGAAGCCTTCCGACATTTTGGCTGAAGTTTGCGGGGCTTTTCTGTCCCTACCTGACAGGGGAAGGGGCTGTTTGAACCTAGGGCGGAACAAAAAACACTTGAGCGGAATTCCATGGTCCCACGCGCCACCTCAAAAAAAAGAGGGTTCCGAACTCACAAACGTATGGCTTCCCTGCAATGGGGGTCGGGAAGAGTATGCTTTTCGGGAAGCCAAGAGCAACCTACTTTCTTTCTTCTTTTTTTTGGGGGGGCACATTGGGAGACAAACCAAGTTGATTTGGATTGGTCAATTCCCCGCATCTTGCAATCTTTTGCTGGAGGGCCCAGTAGGGATTTGAAACCTCGCTTGTACATCGAAGCCTGCCCAAAGCTCGTTCCCGTGCTGACCGGCCACAAAAACGTGCCATGAAGCAACAACTGCTTGTTCCTTTAACAAAGTAACGAAGACATCTACCAACACATGAGCAGCCGACTGCATTATCTGGCGCGATGCCACATTTGGATTGATCTCGTTTTTGACTCGCTTTTCAGTAAGAGCCCAGCCAATTTGGGGGCGGGGGGATCTTCTCGTTTTACAGCGGATTGGTGCAAAAGCACTTGTAGGACAAAAGCGAGTCGCTATACCTGCCACACTCCTGCGCCAAGCAACCTACTTGTCCTCTCGCATTGTTCTTTCAACTATCTGAGTAGGAGGACGATGAGACACTGGACCGATCAAATCTGGTTGTTTGAAGGTGTACGACTCGTTACGAACTTGTTTTGGGCTCTTTTCTCTGGCTTGTGCGCTGCCCCGAGAATGCCTTCAGACCTTGCAGGGCAAGACTTGCAAGAGTATTTTGCTTGTTGCTGCGTTCTCAGCATATCCATCCGTCTACTCTCTCACAGCTATCTGGGTCACTGCTGTCAGGTCAGGCCGATGCGAAAAGCTGAGGGTCTGCTCTGTCACAGCCAGGTGGGGCCAAGCCACCGGTCTGTCACGTCGTTACTCTCACAACAATGATTAATCTTGCTTCATCTCGTTTTGCATGGTTTTCTACACAACTATCTCGTTGTCTCGGATAGTTTTTTGGGACCATATCCTTTCACAGCAACATCTCTACTCTCTATGGTATTCCGACCCTACAATCAACACACAATTGCTGGTGAATTGGCCGGCCGCTGTGTCAGGTGTAACTCAGCATTTGGATCTCTCCTTACGGACAAATCCTCTTAACCAGGCCATTTCCCAGAGGAATTCGGGCTCATCCCAGGCTGCGAGCTTGACCCCAGGGTCGTACCAAGGAGTCTGCCCTCGCCAAATATTCGGTTCTGGAAGTTCGGTGCGGCTGTACAGGTGTACATGACGCGTAAAAGGGGACAAGCGCGGCCATCATCCAAGCACATCAACTTGGACCCTCGAAATTCGGAGGTTTCCTCTTCATTTCCGTTCAAAGCGCAAAGGGAGCCCCAACAAAGCCAAGCCCATGGCCCATGCCAGCTGTTCCCCTACCGGGAAATTCGGGCTTGTCCTCTTGGCGAGTGTCAGCTCCCATGTCCCTAGGAAATTGAACAGCAGGGGATTTTCACCGACGCTCAGTGGATATGTGCCATAGGCCTGGTGGCAGCGCATCTTCCTTCCGCTCGGAGGCAACGATGTCGATGAGCAACTGCACGTGCTCCGGGTATCTGCTGGCAAACTCGGCCATGGATCTGACCTGATTCGCCGTCGCTTGCGTGACGACTGTTTGCTCACGGAACCTGAACAACTTACGGAACATGAATTGAAACACCAAAAGATGCAAAATGCTAAGCTAAGTCAGGTGACAGTGATCGACCGTGAAGACCATTCATGCAGAAGAGATAGAATTTGGTACCGCCAGTCTTCCACTAGAAGCATGGGCCACACGTGTCTCAAAGCAGGGGCCGTAAGCGAGCAGTGGTGATCATTGTCCGCCAGCGCCAGCAAGACACTCAGGGCCCTAGGGACCACCAGCTCCACGAAGGCATCCGCATCCTTGGATTCAGGCTCATCATCCTGGCTGTGACGACGAAACCGGCGATGGTTTCCCCGAAACCGGCTCTAACCGTCGCCCCTTAGGGGTTTCGGTCTTCAGGGTTGCCCAAGGGATTGGTGGCGCAAGGCAACAACCCAGATCTGTCCGGTCGCCTTTGGTAGTTCTGAGGCCCCCAATTTGTCTGGGGCTGTCCTCAGATCGCCTGCAAAAAAAGGGGGTAACTTTTGGGTTAAGTGGAAAGCCCCGCTAAACCAACTAAAAACAATTAAAAAGCGAAGGAACCGGACGATTTGCTGGGAACCGCCCAGTTATGGATGAAAAGGCCATCAAGAAATTCGGATACCAGGCCAAACCTTGAAAACGAGAGTTTATCCAAACAGAATCTTGCCTAAGGGGCGCAGGGGGGCAGCTCTTTTTGGGTACCCATGCCCAGCCCAGCAACAAGCCCATAAAGACCGCCAGCAAACGGTTTGATGAGACAACTGCGATAACTTCCATTTGCTTAAGTCCTTGAGGGAAAAAACAAAACCAAGATGTCCATGGGTGACAGATTCCTTTTGCAACCAACAGGGGCATTAAACAAAAACGGCTTCTACGACCAAAAGCGCGTCCTGCATGGCCCTCCGGCCATCCGCGTTGGGCCTGCGCTTCTTCCACAAGATGCAGCTCCGCTCAATGTCCTTCAGGACCCCGTCCAGGCGAGAAGGCTGAGCCACCTGGTTTTCAGTCCCGCCCCCTCCAAATGGGTCATAAGCAAAACCCGGTATTAAGGAACCATGCCACGAATTAAGAAGGCAGATATCCGCAGCTACTTATGGTTGGGATTGGTACTAAAATGGTCGACCCGGAACCATGCTTCAAGAATTAAGAAGGCAGATATCCGCAGCTATTTATGGTTGGGAGTGCCCCTTACTAACCTTCATCTGGGATGACTCTTTCTTGTTTCGGACTCGGACCCCCCCAAGACGGCTCCCTTTGGTTTTCTTTTTGGTTGGAGCCACTCCCAACTGCGCAAATAGGACGCACTGAAGAAACCCCTTTTGGCAAACCATCGGGATGAAGTGCCAATACCATTGCAACACCCTTCTGCCAGCTTGCACGTTTGGAGGGAGGGTAGGTCAGTGGGCAAACTGCCGGAAGCGGGTATTGCATGACGGGAATGATCCGCTTTTCGGATCCCCTGCAAAGTTGGCACTAAAATCTGGGGACAATAACTGTCCTTAACCTTTGCGCCCCCTTAGGGCAAAGTTTGAGTGGGGACCTCAGGGGTGCTTGGGTGCTTGATACAGGCGCTTTCCTTGGAGGCATCTGATTTTGATTTCGGATGCGAGGCCACCCAAGGAAGCAAGTCCTTTATCCAGAATTCCACTCCCATTTGTCGCACGCAGGCGCACGCTAGGCCAGGCACGCACACACTCACACACTCACACACGTTCCCACCTCGTCCACCTTCAAGTCGATCTTTCGGCCCACCCATTGATCCGCCTTGGGCTTGGTTTGGCCCGAGAACTCGCCCGGGCGCGCGCAGAACACGCTGCGCTCGGCCGCGGATTCCAAGCTCTTGAGCAACTGGCCGAACTCTGACCTGAGAAAAGTGGACTGTTTGCTTGCTGAGGGAAGATGAGCGAAGGCCACAAAGCGAGAAAACAAAAAACACAACCAGCACCTTCGAGCTATCGAATGGCACACGTGCCCTTTTTCGGGGTCTTGGGCAAATGGACAGCCCTTGCAAAGTGGTAGAAAAAGGTTGTTGAAGTTCCTGGCGATGCGGCTTGCTGAGCTGTCCCAAAGAGTCCGGCGGGGCATCGATGCTTTCTGCTTCAGGGCCTTCGGCCTCGCTTTCGTCGCTTTCCTCGATCTCCACTCGGACAGGCCCGTCTTCCTCTTCCTGCAGGGCAAGTAGACCCCAAAACTCGCCAAGCTTTCCGAAACAGGGAATCCTGATTTCAAACAAGAGCCCGTCGAGTCAATTCTAAGGGTCATCCAATGCAGACCCCCGAGCCCTCTCCCCCAATCGTCAACTTGGGCGCCGGTGGTCCTGGCGGCGGTCCTCGCAGGTCTCCCCGTTTCGGGCCTGCTGGCAGGCCAGCTTGGTCTTCTCCAGCAGGTCTTGCGCCTCCTAAGACCAACCCGAGAGCAGGTGGTTGGGCGGGTGTGGGTGGGCGGGCGGGCGGGCGGGTGGGCGGGTGGGCGGGCGGGTGGGTGGGTGGGTGGGTGGGTGGGTTGGTAGCAGGAACCAGTCGGTAGGTAACACCGACATGGCGCAAAATCTGGTTCCGAGCTCGCAAACGGGACAATTCGCTGACTCCATGCTCGAAGTCAGCATGAAAGCGCTGGTCAGCGGGAAAAAATCGATTGGCTAACAAACAAGACACATGTGGATGCAGTTTGGATGGTCTTTCACAGGCAACTGGACATGAAACAGCTGGCCCAAATCACAGCTATTGAGTTGTCGTTCGTGGGGCGTTTCTGAGACGCAGTGCAACAAACGTAAGTACTTGTGATCACATGGACTCAAGCAGTTTGGACTTGCCCACGGAACAAAAGTAGGGCTGTGTTTTTCCGAAGGGCAGTTTTCAAAAGAGAACCAACAGAACTGAGTCAGCCCCTTTTCTTCTAGAAATGACGTGCCTCCCTTCTGGAAAGGGGGGCGAGCATGCTCCCTGTCATTGACTTTGGGAACTCATTCGCTATTGGTATGTCGTTGCCATTTGGTTACTTTCGATCTATTCACCATTTGGTGGAACGTCTGCGTGGCCGGGGTCAGAAAGAGTCCGAAGCGAAATGCATGTGCCTCAAGCACCTCCAGCCCGAACGCATTTGGCTCACATGCCACGCACACTCTGGGCGATTTGAATGCGAGCTATCAGCTTCCTGGTTTGGAGGGAAACAAATGGCCAACGGCACCAGGTTGGAAAGCAGGGGTTCACTCGAGAAACCAGGCAACTGTCTGAATTAAGCTTCCGGAGAAAAAACATAAACGGCAACACGGCATCTTCCTGAACCCGTGGGAGAAACTGGGGGCTGCTCCCTCCATACATTATCTCCGAGGGAACATGTAGGCAAGCGCAACCCGCTGGGGCTGACCAGTGGGATCCTTGTTCTTGGGGAAGATGGTCAGAGCATCCTCCAGGTCGTTCAAGGCGTCTTCCCACTTATGCAGCCCCCTGGTGCGATTCGACTCATTACGTGTCAATTATGCAATTTGGTTGTACTCCGTACTATCTTCTTCTTCATGATACTCCGTTGCCAACATTTTTGAATTGTTTGAGTGCGGCAAATGAGTTCATGATGCAACATGGTAGTGAACCGTCGTTTTGGCAACATCAATTCACTGTCGCATTAGACATAACACAAGACTATCGAATGCTTCAGCATCAACTCGCTTAGGCAGTGCTCCTGTTTTAAGTTTCTCATGTTGCTCCTTGCCCACCAGTAGTATAAAAAAAAGGACACCCACCTAAAGACTTTTTTGTTGGGTCTCCCCCATCCCAGTCCTCCAATTGGTTTCTGATCGAGAAACCAATCACTTTCGTTGAGTTTGAATTGGAAGCTCTCAACACATCGGGGGGGGAAGCAAAATGCATCGAGATCTCACGGTCCATCTGCCTGAGGGCCGTGGCTCGCCGGGTGAAGGCCTTGAAACAGGCGTCCGCGCTCTTGGCAAAGCCCTCCTCGAAGATCTCCGCGTACTCGATGACCTCCCAAGAATTCTCTCAGAACGAGGGCGCTCGGGGTTCCATGGAAAACAGAGCAACAGTGATTTTGGGGGCCCCAAGGAAGGCACGGAAGAACACCGTTGCTGCTTTAGGGGCCGTTCCGAGCTCAGTAAAGCCTAGGAAGCCATGGACTTGTGTTCGCAAACAAATTGCAACGAGCTGGCCCCAAATCAAACCTCCATGGCAAAAACGAGCGTTTGAACTGCCCATCTTTCAGGAGATAGCGCAATGTACCATGGCAAGGTGTTCCCCTTTCATCTTTCAGCCCCCGCTATGGATTCAGGTGTTCCTCCCAGTCCCAAAGCCTGAGCCCTGCCAAATCTTTGGTTGCGCACTCCCTTTTCAAGGCGCCCCCATGTTTCTAGAACCTCTTGCGAATGTCGCGGATTCCAAAGTCATGGGGATTAGCCCAGGCCCCAACCCACACCCAATGGTACATAGTGCAATTGCTCCAAAACACCTACCCAGTATCGGTTGACTTCATATCGTCCACACACTTAGTCAAAATAAAGATGAGGGTTTGATTTAAAAACGTACATCTGTATATATAGTTTTGGTGACGTTCTTTGCTTTGGGGAGCGGATTGCACAGATTTATGTAGCCCCTACTCAAACCGTCACAAGACCAGGGAATGGAAGCGCCGATGGGCTGCGCTCTGGCGGTTCGCACCTTGTTGCAGGAGCCAATGGCATCGTGCCACCGGAAGACTTTCACCTCCGCCAGGGCCTTGTTGGTCCACAGGGCCTTGCAGTCCCTGCGGTACTCTAAGCCCTCCTCGTAGTTCCTGTGCCACTTCGTAAGTGTGAGGCATCTTCTTTCATTCCCTATATCTCTGTCTCTATACCATCCCTTCTGTATCTCTTCATATCCTTTCCCTTGGCCACCTTACCCGGCACGGGCTGTCTCTTAATCTGGTGGCCAAGAGGAGATATAGAGATGGGCATATAGACACTCACTTGCCCAAAGGACCCAGAAATAAAGGTTAACCTTTTGGGGCCATGACTAAAACTAGGCCAAAAAGGAAAAACCAAAAGGTCAAAAGGTCGGCTTTGGGCAACTGAGGACAGGAGAGGGAGATATAGAGGAGATCCTTCATTGTGAGCAAATATTTCTGGGATCTCCTCTCTCCCTTACTCTTTCCTGTCTATGCCTTTCCCCAGCGAATGAAGGGAGCGTGATGAGTGTGGAGAGTTGGGAAAAGAAAGGCACAGGAAAGGATGATAATGGATAGCAAAGTCAACACCCATCAAGCAAAACCAGGTGCCGCTGGTTGCGTGTTTTTGGGTTTGGTTGCCGGCCTAAGCAAATCAGCCTGAAACTGCAACCTTAAATAAAGAGACCTCCCTGTCAGACAGGAACCTCGGCAAAAGTCCAACAAACCAAAAAAAGAACCTTAGCTTGTGGTCCTCTGGGCAGGATGGTTGAGATTGCTGTCCAAGGGGGTCAGCAAACTCGGCAACTCAGGTGAGCGTTGAAATCACCACCGCTAAGCTTGGCCCTCTACGTGAGTGTCCCAAACTTAGCAGCGCGGTAATGCGGAACGAATTTGGCTTCAGTATCATTCCCATTGAATCAGGAAGTATAACCTGCCATGTAACTGGCCAATAGGAGGGAGCAATCTCAGAGGCAAAGGGGCGTCAAAAGCATCCTGAAACCACTACTTGAGGAGACATTTCTGAAAGGGCCCAAGGGTCTACTAAAGAACACACTGAAACCACCAGAAGGGAGTTGATCCGGCCATCCTTGATCTGGTGTGTTCAAAAATAGGGACCCAACAAGTTGTGGGTTTTCCCTTGCTTTTTCTTTCAAAGTCTAGAGCAACCCCAAAATAGAATGGATTTCAGTCTCCCTTTGGTTTTCCTTTAAAGCAACCCAAGGAGAAAGGTACCGAGCCTCACACGAAGACAAATCCACCTGTTGCCTTTCGAGCTGCTCAATGGCGCCCACGTAGTCGCCCTCCTTCATGCATTGGTTCCTCAGCCAATGTGACAACCTAACCCTCGCCCCCAACAGAAGCACCGGGAAATTCGGCTCCTTGCAAATACAAAACGCCGCAGGATAAAAGCAGACTCCGTCCAAACTGGTGAACATTTGATGTTAACCTAAGGACAATCAACAGGCACCCAGGGGTTTCGGACAAGCAGAAGATTGAGTGGCTGATCCGGAAAGCCGAGCCCTGAATCTTACTCAAACCCTGCAATGGTCACCCACCATGGCGATTTTTCCGTTTTTCCCGGGCGACTGTAAAAAAAGGACTGGGACTCACCCTGCCATTTCGATGGGTTCGTTTCCCCCGGCCCCGTTTTCTCGGGTGGGGCTATTGGTTTAAACATCTTTGAACCATTGGTGCGGATGATTTCTGGTGATTTCTGGTGTTTCTTTAGTCGTACTTTGCCCCCTCATTTTCCTGCCCGTCCCAAAAACATCGTCGGTCCTGCCAGTTTTTTTTTCTCGCGCCACGGCTCCCCCGTTGCCGGCACCTCTCCGCCGTGAGGTTCTTCTCCGACTGCTTGCGCTTGCGCTCCTTCAAGTCCGCCTCCATGGCCAAGAACTCGGGGTTGTCCTTAAGCGAATCTGGCTGAAGGTAGATGGCAGGATTCCCGAGGAATGACTGAACCAAACAACCACCCAGGCAAAGAAAGCCCTCCAAAACTGAGCATTCCAAGATTCGAGTAGTTTTTTGTGCATGTTTATGTCTTGTGGCTTTGTTCCGTTTGTTGGCGGGGGAGGAGGGTGGAAGGCTGTAAAAGTTTGAGCATGTATTGTGCGTACTATGCCCCTCTCTCAAATCTAATGGCTTACATGAGGCCTTCTGTGTATACAGGCATGACATGTTTTTGTTTTTTCTTCTGTGTGTGTGTTTCATGCCTGAAACAATATACACATATGTTCTGCTCCTTTGCGCGTTGCTTCTTCTTGTTCACACGTGTCTATATGTACAACTATACATGTTGGTATATCTATGACTTCTACCATATGGGGTTCTGGACCTGCACGGGTTGGCTCCAAGGGCTCTGGTTCGGAGTTCCGGGGATGCGTGGCATGGGCGCGTCCGTTGCCGAGCGCGCGCACATGTGCCTGCTGTTGGGGATATCACCTGAGCCTATTTTTTCGAAAGGCCCTAAAAAGACACCCAAATAAGATCCGTGCAGCGGAGACTCCCGTGGCACGATGGGATCCCCCTCCTCCTCGGAATCCGTGTCCGGCTCCCAGTACTCCCAAGCCTGCAAGTTACAAGAGATCGGCATGTGTCTCTGGATTTTCTTGTCACTACGTTTTGGTTTTTGGTGCTCTACATGGCTGGAAATTGTGATTTCCATTGCGGAGTCCCCCACATTACCCAACATTTCCATTGGCCGTAGCTTTCCCCTTTCGACACTCAGCAAAAGCAAAGCGGAGCCTTTGACGGCTATTTCTCAACTTTTGGGAATATCCGAATCCCATTCTTACGCTTTGCAGGGACAAACGCTGAAACTGCGAGGAGAGATGATGATCCCGTCCCAACTGGCGCAGGAGTTTGGCCCCTTTTTACAGTTGCTTGTTTCCCCTAGAGAGAAGCAGAAGGGGATGAAGCAGTTTCAGAGCCCCCACCCCCCAAATACCTAAATTGCTGGAGCTTGGGAATGACCTTGGTCTCGGAATGAACCGGTTGGGATCCTAATGTGATTGTCGCTAAGTCAGATTGTGTGACTCAGGGGCTGGGAATGAACCTAGGGAATCCCCTAAAAGGAAATCACAGGGGATGGTTTATAGGGGTCATGCCCTCATTCCCTGCCTATCGAACCAGCAAGGTGAAGGGGTAGGACGCGTTTCTTACGCGAAACGAACCTCGCCTTGTAGTTGATGAATCGGCTCTTGCCCAGCAGCGCCTGAGACTTCTTCCAGCGGCCCCACTTATCCTTGCGCCACTTGTGCTTCGCCTAAGAGTTTCTCAAAGAAACTCGGCAACGCATGGAAACAACAAAGGACTTGCCTCTTTAAACAAGCCAGAGGCCAATTCAGCCCTCTTTTGAACACAACTAACATAGTACCGGACTCCGGGACCGCTTCCAACGGAAGCTTCAGGTCTTGCCGTGGATTTTCCCGCGCCTTTTCCTCCTTGAAGACTTCCAGCTTTCCCATGAGTTCCTCGCGCCGGGCTTCCTGGGACATCAGCTTGTCCGACTGCTGGCACCGCGTGCATTTGCCTCGGTCGCAACACAAGCAGTCTGGCTTTTGTGGGAGGGCCGTTTTTGGTGGCTTCAAAGGAAGCCCAACAGGCAAACCAACCATTTTGGGGGTCCAACCTTGACAAAGACACGCCCATGGACTGCAAGATATTGCAAGAAGCCTGTCACTTGAACCACCTCTGACCTTCTGCGGGAAAGCACAAGCTCTCCCACAAGTTGAAGGTAAAGCGCGTCCAAGGAATCGGCATGCCTAACCCAAACCATCCCCACTGGCGACTTAATCCTAACGGTGCAGGATAGGTACGGCGTTCTTTCGGCTCAGTTGCAAGCATCTCTCAGAGATGCTAAGGGGCTGCTTAAAAAGCAGCAAGTCACCCAGGTCGTTGGGGACGCTTGGGCCGCTTTCTGGTAGTGCAGGAGTAGTAACTCCCCGCAATCAGAGGTTTCCCCTTGTCCCTCACAGTTTCCCTACAGGGCCAACAAGGTTTGCCAAAAAGAAACCCCCCCTTGCAGCCACCAAGCCAAAAATTCTGCTAGAAAAAAAGACGCTCCTTCTTGCTTGGCATTTGCCTAGTTTGCGCTTGATCCCACCAATACCAAGCCACTGTTAAACACCTCAAGCTCTCCCAAAAACCGTGCTTGCCCAAGTGAATTCTTCTCACTAAAGTTTGCTGAACATGACAAGGTGTTCAAGCTCACAAAGACGCCGGCTCCCCTCATCAACAGTAACCCCTCCTCCCCCTCGCGTTTCATCAGGGGCCCCTTTGGGCTCAAAACAACAAGCTGTTGCCATTTAAAGTCCTACCCAGAAAGGGCCAAGAAGGCAAGAGGCAGTCGCATTGGCTGGGGAGGGGCCAGAAGCACAAGGACGGCTGCAGGTTAATCAGAAAAGGGCCAAAAAAAGACTCAGTTTTGGAGCGGGGCGCCTTTACTTTTCAAGGGTGACCATTGTGGCCTATCTTGCAACAACCTTCGTTTAGGGTATTGTTTGCTTAGGGTTCTTGGCTGCAAATACGCCAACTCGGCGTCCCTGGCACGCCACCCCCTCCCTTCTGCCTTTTGCCTTCTGCCTGCCTTTTTGCCCAAAGGCCTTCGGGCAGGTCGATGAGGTACTCCACGAAGCAGCGCTTGCACCACCACTTGTACTTGGTGCCCTCCCCTTTGCCCTCGGAGCCATTCAGCAGGAACTTCTGGCGCCTCGCCTTCGCAAACCGCCGCTGAGTGCCAGCGACGTTTGGCACTCGATGTATCTTTGGTTTGCTTGCTCTCTGGGAACTGCATGAATCCTAGTTGCGACGAAGAATGATCCCGATGCAGATCCCTCTTGGGTTGACCAGTTTCAGTGGGGAACCCATGAGCAATCACTAGCATTGGATTGCACTTCAGGATTTCAGCCCCGTGGATGTGCGACCTAACTCAACTTGGCAATCACCCAGGTGCGATTCCACAGACCCTGTAACCTTTGAAAGGAACGGTCTCCCGAAATCATATCCTTGATTCATCCCGCCCAAATCTGAGTGAATAGTATTTCCCTCCTTTCCACGAACATGGAACCCACCAGAGCGGCCCAACGAGCGGTTCGCAAAAAGCCGAGCCATTTTTTTACGTCAGGCGGATTTCCGTCAAATGGGATCCGGCTGCATTTGAAGGTCCCATGGCTTTCGATTTTTTGTTTTTGGCAGCCGCAGGCGATCCTACCACAGCAGTGTGCCATGATTTCTGATTGGCCATCCCAATAGTTTTCCTGGCCCAAAGGACTTGATGACGTTTTCCTGGCCCCGACTCCAAGCAAAAAGGTGCTTCACCGAGCATGGAAACCCTAGGCCTGGGGCCCGTATCCTCAAAATGTCCCTCGAAATGATGACTCAACACTGAAAAGAACATCACCTCCTGCTCGAATTTTGGCTTGCCCATAGACCAGTGATGTTGTCAGCTCCACAGGCCAAGCTTTTTGACTTCTGCATCTTTTACTACACTTCCCAAGACCTGAAAGGGATCCCCAAGCCAAGGATCCTATGGTGAGCTTGTTCCACCCCCGTATCGGTGAGCTCGCGGTTAAACAACGGCAGCGGGTGAAGCCCCGCTTTCGGATTCCCATGCCGTGACGCCTGGGACTCCTCCTGTCGGATCTGCTTGGCGCGCTCCTTGAGCGCCAGCTGCTGGTCGAAGGCCTCGAAGTCCGTGATGGTCCCGTCGATGATGCCGCGGATCTGAGACGTGACCTGACGGGCCAGGCACACGACCGGCCCACCGGCCGGTTCCTCCCACCACTTTCTCAGCCGATGCTCAGAACCAGTTGAGAGACTTTTGGTGACCCTCAGCCCTCACAAAGAGAGATTTCGCGAAGCTTTCGCGTGTGCGTGTTTTCCGCTCGCGGCGGTTTGTTTTGTAGCAGCCCTTTTCCAATACGTACAAGAATAGTGCACCAAGTACACCTTGGTAGCTCCAGCTCACAGAATGCAAGTCTGCAAAGAGCTGGATCCTGGACCCACGCTTTTTGCGGAATCGCCCCGCATTTTCGAGCTCTCAAACAGCCAATGCCCGTAAACGCCCTTCTCATTTCGCGAGCGCGCTGCCCTCAAGCGCCGTCTGAACAAACAAGCAGCCCTTGTGCGGACCTTTCGTGGGCCGAGTTTTCGGAAAATGCCTTCGCGAGCTTTCGAGATGCAGGGGTTTCCTTCGCGGAAGCGATTTAGGAAACCCTTTTTAGGGCCCCTAAACTCACTCCCCGGGGGCGAATCGACCTTTTGACATCTTGGGTTCCCCTTGTTCCATTTTTAGTGGCCGCAAAAGGCTAGCCTTTTATTTGTGTCTCGGGGCCACCGCACAACCAAAACCGGGCCCGATAGTCTTCATCTTCGAAGGACTTGGACCTTCCTTTTTTTTGCCAAGGGCTGACTGGCCCGAGGACCTCCACACAAAACCACTTTTCGGGGCCCGCACTACAGACCCCAGGTACCAAGGAACCCTCGATTTTTATCCTCGGGGGGTCAACTCCGCAAACCACCAAGGAACCTGACTCCAGGCGACAGCCGGGACACCTTTTGGACAAGTCTGTTGTGGGACAAACAAACAAATGTACCTCCAAACCAACGGCGGTCCTTTGGAAACCGTGTTTTAAACAGAAACACATAAACAAACGCAGGGGGAAGAATGGACTGCGAAGCAGAAAACAGCCCCTTTACGAAGTTTGCGGGAGCGAGAGAAGGTGCCACGGACTTCTGCCAAGGCGCGAGGGGTAAGTGCCAACGACCAAGGGTTGGCGGAAAGCTGAAATATGCTGTAAAGGACTATTTGCACGAACCAAAAAGGTTCTGCAAAGGGGGTGGGCTTCTGCGAAAGGGGCAAGGGTTCTACGAAGTTCTGCGTACTCATACTATTCTTATTCTACTGAACATTACCCTCCTGCAATTTCCTCCGAACGATGGTACTTTGGGAAACGACATGTATCATGACAACAAACAGCACCGAGACCCTTTTAGAGTGCCCAACATCTCTGTGTGTCAACTTTTTGCGGGGCACTTTCTTGGAATTGCGAGAAGGTAAAGGGCCAAACCACCATTTTGGGAATCCATGTTGAGACTGCAGAAACCCACCGGCTGGAAACCTGTCCACGTGGACAAGGCAAAGTCGTATGCGCCATGGCAGGCGCCCTAAGCCAGGCGATGGAGGACAGGCAACCTACAGCTTCAGGGGGCAACCAACGTGTTTCAAAGGACCAAGCTGGACATTTGCCAACTGCGCCTCAAAAAAACGATCGAATGCGGCCGATCGAAGGCCGCGCCTCCTCGACTTCATTGGACCACTCTTCGATCTCCTTGTTGCCTCTGCCGGGGGCAGCAAGGGCGTGGGCGTCCACAGGAGCCATGGCGGATGGGCAAAGCTGAAACTCGGAGAGCCCAACGCCGCCGTACAACTGCTTTGCCCAAGGCACGAACACCCGCTCCTGAATTCCTCGAGGGCAAAACGAAACAACATTGCTTCAACAAGAAGGTCGTTGGTTTAAGGAAGCAACATTGCTTGAACAACAAAATAATCCCAGGTGGTGTCCCAAACAGCAACCTCCTTTTTGGCCTTCCGGAACCCTGGCCGCTCTAAACCACTCCAAAGCCTATCTGGGGTCGAGCTCCAACGCTTTCCGCTGGGGCAAGTTGGTTCATGCGCTGGTATGCGCCCCAAGTCTGGTGCGCTCGGCCGCGCAACCCTTTTCGCCAGGGCCGCGAGCGTGCTCAGTCCTGCTCATTGCAGACCTGAGCTGCAGACATTCGTTGCTGCTTGGGAAAATTGGGTGTGCCTCTGCTTGCGGGGTGTCCAGTTTTTGCGGGCGGCCTATGTGATGATTCAATGTTTCGTTCCTACAGGTGGGGGAACTCCCAAATCGACCAGGTGAGCATGCACAGCATTCCTTCATATTGCAACTGAGAGCCCCAAAGGAAACGAAAAACGACAGAGGCTCCTGGGTCCATGTCCCCCGGTTTTGGGTCATCTGCGGACTGGTTCACCCCTCAGAAAACCGAGCCTTGAGTTTCTCAGACGAACCGACCTGAGAGCCCGAAAAGCTTTGGACAAATGCGACGAAGGGGTGGCCCAAATACCCCAATCCCATGGACCAACAGCAGAAAGGAAAGCCAAAAGGCAAAAGGAGACACGCCCATAACAAAAAGAGGCAAACTGAAAAGGCAATGACACAGGAATCTAAAGCAACAGTGAAAGAACCAAAATCGGAACCAAGGAGAAACTCAGAGACTTTGCATAGCCCTGGCATTAGCCTGGCCCTGGCACAGCCTGGCGTGCCTGAAAGGGCGGGGTTTTCTAATTTGGGGTGGGCTAAGGGAGGCTTCATAATCCCAAAAGGTAAACGAAGAATGAAAGAGGGAAACTAAACAACACAAAGAGAACAGCCAGACAAACAACCAGTGGGACAGGGGCTAAGGTTTCTATACGAGTCAATATTCATCCAGGGACATTCATGTGTTAAGATGAGAGGAGCCCCCAGTATGGTGGCTTTCCTTTCGTTTCTCTTCAAGCCAAGCTTGAACAAGGTGCCAACTCCAAAATAACCTCCCCCCTCATCTCATTTGTGTTTTCCTGAGCGTGCCCGTTTTAAGGTACGCTTGCAGAGAAACCAAAGCACACCCACCATGTTTTGGGCCCCCCTATTTGGACACATGCCCATATATATTGGAGGCTTCGACTGAGCCTGGGGCCAGCTTCAGCAATTTTGGCGTTCCGAAGAGACGGAAGCCTTTGGACGTGGGCAAGAGCGGGTACACGTCCTGGTGATAAGACGGCATGGCCAACGAGCCCGTCCGGCGAAGAAAGTTTCCCGAGTGGATCCGTGACACATGTCTATTGACCTCGATTCTTCATCCCGATTCAACATTGAGCTAACAAATATCTTTTTTGGGTCAAGCAAGGGCCGGATTCAACTTGAGTTCAGCCCCTCCGCAAATCGGGGGACCTCCCCACCAAAGACAAAAGTATGCTGCGGAACTGTAGCCCACAGAGGCTATGAAGTCCGTGGGACGTGGGAGGACATGGGTATGGGGGGGGGGGGGTGTATTTTTAAGGGTACATTGGCAGGGAAACCAAATGAACCCCCAAAGCTGTGCGCAAGTGTTCGCAAGCATGTGGCAAAAGTCGCGATTAGAATAGATAGATAGATTAGATTAGGTTAGATTGGAACGAATAAATAGACAAATAGGCGTGTAGATGTACAAACGCTTAGATGGACAGATGAAGACTTGAATGGACGGACAATTAGGTAGATATACAGATGGGCAACTAGATACATGGATGAATAAGCTGGCGGACGGATAGATTAACCAACAGGTCAACAAGCAGGTACGATAGGCAGGGACACACACTCACACACAACGGAAGGACGCAGCGACGCATCTCGCGAACACACGCTGACCCCCCAGACCCCTGTCTAGAACAGGAACCCTTCTGCTACGCATTCGGGCAAACATTTGAGGGTCCATCACTTTGAGACAACCCCACATGTTGTACCTCAGGCAACCACACCTCTGGCATCCCAGTAGAGCTCATGCGTTGTGCATTTGGCAATAGGAAGCAACAAGGGTATCGAGAAGGAGTAACTACTCCAGGGCACGTTATTGAACCCACGGTTCTTGACACAATACATCCATTCCTCTTTCGTGCTTCCCTATATACCTTGCAATATAGCGAATCCTGCGCACCCTGCGACGTGGATGTGGTGGGCATAGCTGCACCAATCTCTACCAATTGGCCCGTCCCATGCTCGCCCATTCAGGCATCGCATGTCCTTGCCTTGCAATCACTCGGACTTGACAAGACAACATACGTTTGAGGACGGAAGTTGCTGCCCCGTTTGACGAAGTTCATTTTGGAATGGCCCCATCAGTTTCGAGGTTCCAAACTTTTGGGAGCAAGAAGCCCGGAGCGGGCCGTTCCGAAAGGGGACGTTTCAAGCCATAGACGTAGAGCTGGAACCAGGCCTTGTCTTTGATTGCCGCGTCTCAGCCACTCGGACAAAGCAAGCCCAAGTTGATTGCTGCTGAGCAGCCCTTGGCGTCTTCTTGTGTCTTTCTCTGGGGTGCTCTGTTTGGGATTGCTTTCAAGGGACACCAAATGGAAATCGCACGCGTTGTGGGCTTCGGAGGCGATTTGTTTAATGCATAGATGATCATGCAGCCTGGGCATACGTGCCATGCCCCCTCCCCTGTCCTCAAAGAAGTAGTAGGTGTGACCCACTGCGATCCCAATGAGGTGGTCCTAGGGAACTTTCACGCTGGAAGGTCTGAAACAACACTCACTTCCTGGGAGGATGGGCCAAAACATGTCCAAACTGCCCAAAAGTTTACAGTCCAGGAACTCAGGAACCTCCATTTGCTTAAGTCCCCTAGAAAAAAAACTAATATTTCCAGTAGTGATAGGTTCCCCTTCAAACCAACAGGGGAAATAAACAATATTCTTAACCAAACGGAAGGGAAGTGAGAACAAGTTTGACCAGTTCACTCTGTGCTCCTGCATACTGCCACCCATCAGGAAGGATACGAGTGCAAACACCTCAGAGCAGCGGGATCGGCACGGCACAGGACGCGAACCGTTGTCAACGCCACACTGAGAACATCGCAAGAAACGCCTGATGTTTACAACGCGAAACCTGGTTGTTCGAAATATACCCTTAAACAAGACGGTATTTAATATGGAGTTGGGAGATGGTTGTGGGAGAATACAAGATTGGCATACAAAGGCGGGCATGGAAACGTGGATTTTTAGATGGGCCGCGAGTGGTTGGTTTCCTCTTGTCCTAAAAGAAGGGTTCAACATATCCACCGTGGCTCCATGGCAAAGCATGTCAAAAGGGCTTAGGGCCCAAGCGCATCGTTTGTGTGATTGAGTGGTCACGGGGATGGGAACCCGATTTGGTACTGGATGATTCTCACGAGCACGATGGACGGCAAAGACACACAGCGAGCCAGCTGAGGGTTGGCCAAAAAGAAAGTGCTCCCAAAAAGGACCACTGCCTTTTTTCGGCCTTTCGATGCGGGGGGGAGAGAGGGGTCCTGGGTCCTCCAGTAGAGAGGTTAGAATAAGAGTACCCTTTTTTCTGTAGTCAATTTTAGTGGGGAAACCCTTCCAATCAAAAAGTTGGTAAAAGCGCACTACTGGGGGACCTAGGGTCCAATAAACAAGGCATCCCCTTTTTGACCAAGCTGGTCATGTTTCCTCTGAGCTGAAGGGCCCAGGTCAGGTACGGCGCACGGGTTTGGAGCATGAAGACCTGTCAGTGGCCAATCCCATCGCGCCAACAGGTCAGCTGAGCATATAAAGCTCCATGAATCTTGAGATAAACTTGGATTTCGTCCACGGTATGTCAAACACACTCACGTGGGTAACAATCAAAACCTGGTACAGGGTCTACTCGCAACCACGCACAGCAAGACGACCACTCTGATCCCGGTTGGGACTGCCCCTTAGATTCAGGATTTGATGGTGACTCATGCGCTGCCTGTATTCTGACCGTCGGATTTCTTCTGCCCCAAACGTAGGTCATGAGGTCAATCAAGGCCCCACTGACAAAGTACCTCGGCCGGACGGTACTTTAGGAAGCTGCAAGCTTCCAGAGATCGGATTTCGAGGTCTCTTGGTGAGCTCGGTAGCTTGTCATAGGAAAACAACCACCATGCACGACCAAGAGTTGGACTGACCTTCTCTGAGGCTGCGCACGCATTGCCGAACACATAGGTGAGAGCCAGCATCATGCCTCACAAAGGGCCACATAAGTCGGGCAAACAAGCCAGGGCAACCAGCACTTGCACTGACCTTGGAAGGAGCCCCTTCTGCTTTATGTGAGGAATGCAGTAAGTCCACCTACGAGCCGAGAACCAAACAATGACCATATACTGCAGAAAGTGTGAATCACTCAGTGCCCTATATCCTAGGGACCCTTTTTTGGGAAGACTGTTTTTAGTGGGGCAGCCACAAAGAAAAGGGACAAAGAATCGCTGCCACTGAACAACTGAGAAAGGGATCCCCACGATACCTTCCTCCCTCGCTCCGCCCGTCCGACCGCTCGACTCGACGTCCGTTTCCGAAACGGCTCGGCCTCCTCCGCAAACTAACATCCACAGGAAATCCGCGGATTTGCCGCGAAAGGCGCCCGCTTCCAAGGAAGAGCAATAGTGTACCTCTCGCCAGTCGCTTCAAAAGCGCCAAGGTTGGCCCCAAGGTTGGCTAAGATTTGAGCCAGGTTGAGACACCTGACACAGAACACACGAAGATTTTGAGAAAAACTGAAGACCTTGAACCAAAAGCCTGCCCCGCTAGATCTCCAAGCGCTGCTTTCCCAATCTTCTCTGACACTTTTTGGATTCCCCCGACTTCTCCAAGGATCCTTACATTATACACCTGAGCATTGCCTTGTAAATGGTTTACCTCTATTTTGGTGTTGAACAAGCAACATGTTTCAAATGGTTGCAACATGGAGATCTTTTAAGGAGCCCTGTTCTCCAAGGCTTGGGGGAGATTTCGAACGCGCGCTTCCAGAGCTCAGCTTTGGGCGCACCAAGACGTAGGTGTTCCAGAAGAAGGGCACTCCGAAGGGCCCAAAGAAGAGGAAGCAGGTCACTAACCTAGCGATTGGATCGAGGCCACTTGGACCCGCAAAAACCATGTTGATGTCTTAAGGTCGTGCCGAAATTGCCGCAAACATCATGTGGATGTCTTAAGGTTGTGCCACAATTTGGCCAAACACACAAACGAGGGGTCTGTGTAAAGAATGGCCTAGGGGTTGAGACACAGACTGGAAGGCTCTGAACTCAATTTGGCTCTCGGAGAATGACTGAACTCAAACCCACACAAACTCCCCCCTCAACTCGACAAACCGATCTTTCCATCTGAATTTGTTCGGCCCCCCAGAAAATTGAGAATATGCCTGGGCTTGCCGATTGTGGGAGGATTGAAACAGGTGAGACAAATCCATTCGGCCGCATAGTTGGAAGTTCTGTAGCTGCTTGCAACCGGTCAACGAGCAAGCTCGCGACCATTGGAGGAAAACCAAAAAGGGACAGCGTCGCCATCTCCTTTGCGTCCCAGAGATTAGCTTTCAAAAAATACCTCCTTCATGTTAGCTTTCAACGAAACCGGTGAGAACCAACCCCAGCCCCATGCATCGCTTTGGGATGATGCACCCCTATGCTATAAAACATCGGCCGGGTCGATCTTTTAATATGTTGCCACCGCAAGGGAACCAGTACCATCTGGCAAATTGAAAAAGGAGTGAACTTGACAATTTCCCAAGTCAGCTTTCTGGGCCCATCTTTAGAATCCCATGTTGGGACTCATGTCAGCTTCCCTCGAACGTGGTTTGGAGCTCGGTGGTTTAGGGGTTGGAGCCGTGGTTTCCCACCCTACGAAGGCCAGGGTTCAAATTGGGACGCACACCAATCCCCAGATTCAGGTCCAGCCGGTCGAACTTTCGCCGTCAAAAGTTGCACATCGCGGTTTGAAGCAACCATGACCTGACTTAGTGGCTTAAACCATGCCTGGTCGCCAACCAGGAGGGGCGGGGTGGGGGAGGGGTGCGGGGCAAACCACCGCCCGGACCGGGCTTCAACATTGACCGGGTCACCTCCAAAGCTGAAGCTCGTAGATGATGAGTTGCCAGTTCAGGTACAATGTGGCCGGCGACACGATGTCCAGCGAGCAGCCCTAAGCGGCGCTTTGCCAAAAGCATCGATCCAGTTAACCTGGGAAAACAAACATGAACATAAATGCCTAAACAAACATGAAAGAAACCTGGTGAAATCACTTGACCACCAAACTGTCTCGAAGTCAACATCCTGTTCGGCTCTCGACAAGCTCAGGGTCACGACCCAACCTCCTGGAACCAGGTATCCACAGGCCAGGTCAGACTCCATGGAGGATTTGCCCTAAAACTGGAAGGGCCACAGTGATTTGCAGCAGTGGAGCCATAGCTTAGCCCAATTCGCCCTGTTTTTCCAAGCCTCTGTTGGTTTCCCCTTCACGGGGACCAGGGTTGGTGGTTGTCCATGGTATCACCGAAAGCTCCCGCTAAAATTAAATCCACTTAACTCAATGGGGGTTGAACATAACCACAATTGTTTACCGTTCAGGAGCTCCATCTAAACTGTGTCAGTTGCATTCTTTTAACTTTGACCCAGGATTTAACCACCTCCATCATCTTAGTTAGAGAAATGTGTCTGATGGTCCTGTATGGACGAAATTCTGCACCACTTTGACACCGTGGTTGATCGACGCATTCCAGGGTTTCTGAACGGTGCCTAGGATTTGCACCACCTAAGAAACCCTGGAATGATGATTCCCCTATACATACCAGCAGCTCAGCAAGCCACGGTTTCCCTTGTTTTCAAAGTGGTGCATTTGAACGGATGTTGCAAGCATGCGCAGCTAGGTCCTCCACTAGAGAGGTTAGAATAAGGGTCCCATTTTTTGTTTCTGTCGTCTATTTTAGTGGGGTTGAACTCTCCCAACCAAAAAACTTGGTGAGAAAGTCCTTCAACCCCCTCCCACCATGACGGCCACTTTTGCCGCGCAAGCCGCGACCGCGAGGGCGACGGCAGCCAGGACGAGGCACCGGGTCACCGGGGGCAGGTGCCTGGCGCGTTGGACGCCCCAAAACGGCCATGGGTCAACACCCAAGTCGTACCGGTGAACACGTTTCAATCCAACCACTATAGGTAACCTAAAATGGGTGAATTCGAATTCACCTGTCCCAAAATGGGGATCCCATTGGTTTTGAACCATGGCCAAATGGCTCAGTTGTCCCTTGAGTTCTGGGTTGGACATTCAACATTGGTCAGCTTTCAAACCCATTCTCCCTTTTTAAGGCAACCCACTTTCTGCGGCGCCCGGCCCAAAAAACCCGCACCAAGATTGTGCTTGGTCCCTCGTGCACTCCTTGCAAATCCTATGTTCTGACTCTGCTCCACATTCATATTCTTTGAGGAGAACTCCAGAATTGGGGGGGGGGCTTTTTGGATAGCAAGAACAAACAAGAGCTTACGAAACCCTAACGTCGATTCATCCGAATAATATTAGGCGCCTTTTTGGACCCAGGTGCGGGCAAGTATCATTTTGTGTTGGTGTGTTGGTGTGTCTCTTCCTTTGATCAACAAACTTAGGCTTTAGAAAAAGGGAGCCACTCATGAGGGCCCCTGGACTGGCGGAGGAAACTAGCAGGGGAATGCAGGCGGAGACTTCAGACATGGTGTTGGGCCTTTTCAAAGTGGCGGCCCAAAGAGGTTGCGACCCAAAGACTAGAGGTCGGCTGTCCAAGTCCTCCCTTTTAGCACTGGAAATAAGAGGCTAATCATTTGGAGCCTTGAGTCAACGTAGACCAAAACTGGGAAGAAAAGGTCACACGTCAATTCTCTGGACAAGTTCATTCGGCGCCGCCTTTTTCTGGGTCACCCAAAAAGAGTCACGTGTTGTGGACAACCTGCCGGAGTTCGTGTGAAGCGGATTTCCTGGTGTGACCCCTTGTGGTTTAAGCGCATGTCAACCCGTCCGAGTTCAACCAGTTTCCAATTCATCCGCGATGGGATCGCTGCTTTTGGTCCGAGTAAGTTTGGTTTCAATCCCTATGAATGATCCTAACATGGCACCTGACAAAGGGTCTTCAGAGCAATTGGATCGTCTACTCTGGCGTGTGGAGGGTATCATAAATGGACCAAGAAGGGGACCTTCACGGGAAGCCTCCGGTCGACCCGTCAGTGGGTGTGTCTTTTGTTTAGTTTGCCTGGGCTGCCCTCAGCTCCCCTGCTCAAAGATGAACTTTTAGTGGGTTTAGTGGAAACTGCCACCAAACACTAAAGAGCTAAGGAACCGGATGGGAGACACCAAGTTGCTTTTTCCTTTTGAAGCCAAGGGGGCTCACAACAAAGAAAGGACCCAAGCGAATGCGGCTGGCCCCATGAGTTGTGCCCAGCTCATGGCGAGCTGTCACTGGGCAAATGGGCGAAGGATCGGTTGAAAGCAACTGGTCCGATGGTGCTGATTTGTTTTTTGCTCAGACTCAACTTGATCCATTTCGGAGCAAACTGTGCACGAGTTGATGACTCCTCTCTCGCTCTCTCTCTCTCTGTGAAACTACTCGATTTCATTGAGACTGTCGAGCATCGTGAGCAAAAGGACAAGGAAATTTGTGTGCTTGTCCTGCCAGCCTCCCTGCAAAAGGCGTCATCTCTGAGTTCCACCCAGCGTCACACACCATGATGCAAAACGAGCGCGCGCATAGTTCGGCCCCTTTTGTCGCCATCGTGATTGGAAAAGGCGCCTAATTCGGCGCATGAGCCAATAGGGAAGTTGCAGGTATTCGAACGCTGCTCTTGCCGTCAGACCTGTGCCGCGGCAAGCTCGACCTGGCAGTGGCAAGGGAGCAGGGAGAAACTCAGAAAACATCTACACAAGTGTCCGTACTTCACAAAGCTGGAAAGGGTTCCCCAGCAAAGAGGCTTCACAAGCGAGCTCGCTTTACCCCTACGTGAGTTCTTTACATTTTGTGCAGAAAGATGAACTCCCTTGTGGCTTGCTTGCAAACACACACACACACACACAACTTCAGGGTTGCTCACAAGAGGTGCTTGCGGGGCACAATCTAAGACCAGTGTCATTTACCTGTCTGGGGAAGTCTGCGGTGCGAGACATCTTGAACCTCTACCCACTGGGCTGCCTGCCTCGGGAATCGGAATTTCTGGCGCACCTGGAAAAAGCTTCGGTCGCCCGTCGGTAACACCTGGATGGTCTTAGCCAAGAGAAACCAGCTTTTCGGTCCCATTGGACATGTACTCACATGTTGAGGGGCTTGTGGCCGGCACACCTTCTCCATAGTTCACCCGGCTCAATGCGGGCCGGCTCAAAAGGACCCGAGCCCAGAATCTGATTGGACCCTTGAAACCTGTCGAAGACTCTTCTTCGCCGCGGGGGTCAACCTCGAAACCCAAAACCCAAAGCATCTGTGTCTTGGGTCCCCCTCTGCAAAACCCCAAACAAACTCCCCGAATTCGTCGCCGTGAGAAACTGGGGACAACTTAGGAAACCACTTTCCATTCACAGGTGTCCTGTTGGAGAAAGATATGGCACTGGTAAATGCTTAGAACCAACCTGCAACCAGTGGAACCCGTCTAGCTTCAACCAAACCAAAAAGGACAGACCCATGCTTCGCATTGGCTCAGTTCCTCAAGCAGCCTTCATGAATCTGGTCGCCGGGGTCCGAACTTTGTCACCCGCAACTCATTCCGGCTGATTGCAGACCTTGCACCCGGAAAAAGAAGAAGAAAACAAACACGAAAAGGCTAAGATGCAGGCACCAGGCAACACTGGATATTGCGGATAGATATTTTTTGCGCACAAAGAATCAAACCAAGTTTGCATTGCGAAGCCGGGATGCAAGCCAATTCAGTGCAAAGCGCCAAGTTGCCCTTTTGCGGTTCCACCATCCGCTGTTTTCTGTGTGGGGCCCATGGGAAACCCCTGGTCAAGTGGGTGTACGACACTAGGACTCTGTGTTTGCCTTGGTCCTCTGGCAAACTGGGGGCCAAGTAAGGGGGTCTGGAAAACATGACAAGAACCATTTGGGTATGGACAATTAAACCACCAGTGGACCGCAGGTTTTAGCCCTTGGTTCAATTTACCAGGGTTCCATGTTGGTTACCTATTCTTGACACCCATTTGGCTTTGTTTGGGTCTCCACTAGGGGACGTTCTAGGTTCACGTTCTATATTGGCTCCCTCAAAAACCGTGGATGGACAAAAGTCAAGTCCCAGTTCGGATTGGGGTCTTATGGCGCAACGAACATAGCGGGGCCCATTTCTGGTTCCCCTTTTCGCCGACTGTGCAGGTCAAGCCTCCAAACCCGGGCCCAATGCAGAACCCAGATCCAGTTGCAAAACAGCCAGGACCCAAAACAATTTTTGACCCTTGGGGGTGTAAGGGTACCAACTCCCAACACAGAATCAGGGCTTCTTTTCGACATGTCTAACCTAGGGAACCTCACCTGGCCCAAAAGGTGCTGGCGAAACGGCTTCGGAGGAGCAAAAGGGCGATAAGGAATCCGAACTCTTGGGGAGACATGGTCTCACCTAAAATTTGGTTCTCCTTTTGGCTTTCCTCGGGCAAACAAAGGGCAGCCTCGGGCAACCAACCGACTTTTTGCCCCCGACCGATACCGAGTTTGGGGTCTGCGGCCATCTTCAGCAGCTTGGGGGTGCGGAAAAGGCGGAAGCCCTTGGAAGTGGACATCAGCGGGTACACGTCCTCCGGAGAATGCCCGAAGTCGGTTGGTTGGTGCTTGCTTGCTTGGATGACTGAATGGGTGCTTGGCTGTTGAGTTGGCTGCTTGAATTGTTGCTTGGTTGCTTGGCTGTTGAGTTGGCTGACTGGTTCGTCGGTTGGTTGCTTGGCTGTTGAGTTGGCTGCTTGAATTGTTGCTTGGTTGCTTGGCTGTTTAGTTGGCTGCTTGAATTGTTGCCTGGTTGCTTGGCTGTTTAGTTTGGCTGACTGGTTGGTCGGTTGGTTGCTTGGCTGTTTAGTTGGCTGACTGGTCGGTTGGTTGACTGGACATTTGGTCGGTTGGTTGGTCGGTCGGTTGCTTGGCTGCTTAGTTGGCTGACTCGTTGGTTGCTTGGTTGCTTGGCTGTTTAGTTGGCTGATTGGTCGGTTGGTTGACTGGACATTAGGTCGGTTGGTTGGTCGGTTGGTTGCTTGCCTGCTTAGTTGGCTGACTGGTTGGTTGCTTGGTTTTCCTTGGATGGCTATTCACTTGGCTAGTTGGCTGGCTGGCTGGTTGGTTGGTGCTTGGTTGGCGCTTGGCTGGCTATCTGGCTGGCTGGCTGTTTGGTTTGTTGGTTGGTTGGCTGCTTGCTTGGTTGCAATGTCAGTTTGGTGGGCGGTATTTTTAGTTGGTTGGTTGGATACCAGTTGGTTAGTTGGCTGGTTGGCTGGTTAGTTGGCCTCTTGGTTGGTTGGTTGGTTGGTTGGTTGGTTGGTTGGTTGGTTGGTTGGTTGGTTGGTTGGTTGATTGATTTGGTCGGCTAGTGGGTTAAGTTGGCAAGTTAGTGTTGGCTGGTTCGATGATTAGTTGGCTAGCTGGCTGGTTGCTTGGTTGCTTGATCGCTTGGTCGGTACTTGATTGGCTGGTTGGTTGGGTTGGCTGGCTGGCTGGCTGCTTTCTTGCTTGCTTGCTTGCTTGCTTGCCTGCTTGCTTGCTTGCTTGGTGGTACCAACCAAACCACTAGCGGAGAATCTCAAGCGCTGAGTTCTATTTTCCTGCGCGGGGGACGAGGGTTCATGTCCAAGCAGTTTCACTACCATGCTTCCTTTGGCAAACAACGGGTATATTCCTCAGTGGAAAACCCTTGGACGTCATTTACACAGGGATATTTACCTCCAGCCGTATTTTGGAAGCCGTTGCCCACTGAAACTCACAGGTTTGACATGGACGCCCATGCAAACGTCCAAGCAAATGCAAACCATTTCACCATTTCACTACCGAGGTCCAAAGCAAAACACAGATTCGATCAAATTAGCCATTCTGCACTTGAGGGTAGGTAGTGCTGACTTTCTTTTGGGGCCCCTTTCAACAGCATACGGAGGTCCAACATTTCGGAGCACCCTCATAGCCAACGCAGTGACATTCAGCTGCAGCAAGGGCCTTTTCGGACGGGGAGCCTCAGCTGGCTTTGTCTTAACAGCCTCCGAGCATGAACCTTGGTGGTTTGTTGATTGCAGGTTCAACATTTAGCAAGTATACCGGCTCCATTTTTATTGGCGGGAGGATATATGCCAAAAAGAAACTATAAAGTCAACCGTCTAAAGTCCGAATGGGTGGACAACGCCAAGTAACCTGGTTACGCCGGTGTCACACGGCCATCAATCTGGCTTCTGAATCTCTCCTAATCAGCCACGTTCTGAGCGGGTACAATACTACATGTATATATAACCACTATACTGGGCTGTTCCAATGAAGGGTTGACCAATCCTGATCCAAAATCAAGCCCTTTCGTAAACCACGTTAAGGATGGAGGATTGCCTCTGAGCAGCCCAGCTATATAGCGGCCCTCTTGGCTGGTGTGAGCCCTTGCGTCCTCAAAGAAGTAGTAGGTGTGCCCAACCGCCATGCCCATAAGGTGATCCTTCCGATTGCACTGGTTGCCGGCTGTGCGAACGAATCCTGTACGTTGGTGCGGACGAGCCTGGAGACACTGTAAAAACATCGAAACATACTGCAATACCTCGCGAACTAGAAGTAACGAATCCAAGCAAATAAGCCCTCATGGGCGATTCGAATCGCTGGGTCTCCCAAAACCCGCATTCATTCGGCAGATTCAGTCGACATGTCTTCGGGTTGGCGCCTGTGCGGTTGTCCAGTGTCCACCAAGTGAGGCTCCATCACGGACAAATTTGGATAGCAAAACCAGAGGTTCAAGGCTCAACCACAATGGCCAGACAATTGTGGCTGGAACAGCTGGACCTTCAGCCTCGCCCTTGCAACCCCTTGCCTGAAATTCGCTCCTCTGCAGTCTTGCCCCACCCTCGCCATGTTTGGACACGCGGAGCTTTTCGTTTAGCCCGTTTCCCCGACAGTGCTCCAATCGACTCTTGGAGCAACTTTGCTTGTCACTCAGAATCTCTTGGTATACAGTTGGCTTACCCAAAGTACCACCAGGACCGGCCCAATTAGTTTATGCCTTTTGAGGGAACCTTGGTAACTTTTGTCGGTTCACACGGATTCCTTCCTCTCACTTGGTCTTTCTAACCAAATTGGGTTTTGATTGTTCCAACCCCGATTGTCCGTGGTCGAGCCTTGAAACCACCGGTGTTTCCGAACCAAAGTGTCTGGTTTTGCATGTGAGACCGCCGGAAATTTCATCGACTCCTTGACCTCGCCGCCCACCAGCAGAGAAATCCACGCCAGGACCTGCAGAGCTCATCCCTAGGCTTGGGCCTTCTGCTTCTTAGGTGGACCCAAAAGGCTCGGTACGCTTAGGGGTTGGACTTGCACGAGTAACGGCTCTGGCAAGCCCCTACTCTTGGGACCCAAAAGGCTGAAAGGGGTCCGTGCTAATCTAAGACTTGGCAAGTGCTTCAAAACGAGGATATACTTGAGTTGCTCTTCCCTTCAGCTTTTGTAGATGTGGAAAATTCCATTTGTTTTTCAAGGGGCCCAAAAAAGATCACACCAAAGACCAGCCACGATAAAGTTGACCGCGGATTGATAAACCCGCCAAGGAGGACACCGCCGAATCAACATGGAAAATCCGTGTCGGGCCCCGCGCCCAGGGTAGGTACACTGCGCGGATGGTGAAGAACAGCACCTGAATCGAAGACTCTTGGCCCACACAGAAAATTATTTGAAAATGACCCGAAGTTGGACCAGATTTCGTCTACCCCGGAAATGCAAAACTTTGTTTTTGGAGACCCCGGTCACCGCACCCGTAGTCGGGCCAAAGAAAAAAACCCAAACCCATTCGATGGGAAGCCTCGGAGAGCGACCACAGCGGCCTTCAAAACTTTTGAGTCCAAGACCTCAGGGAGTGAGGGACAGAATCACTATTGACAGCTTGCTCTTTGCAAACCTGGAAACTCTTGTCGTGGAATCAACCTGTTCCTCATTCCGGAACCTTCGGTTGTTTCTCATCTGTTGTGACTCAGGGGAGCCAATGTTCACAAAACCAAGAATTAGTGAACGAGGCTTCGTTTAGGCTTCGTCTGGCCTTCGTCTCAAGACTTGCTGGCGCTCTGCAAAAGCCACCAAATGCACATGACGATCCTCAGTTGTCAGCGCCGTATTTGCTTTTTGAAGGTTTTTTCACCATATCCCGCTCCACAGCCCTGCGAACCATTTGGAAGCTCATTTTGCAAAACCTGGTTTTCGTGCGCGCAAGTCATCAGAAGTGGTGAATTAGGCCCTCACAAGGATGGTCCCATGGTTGGTCTATGTCAACTCCCAAACGGGGTTTCTATTGGCTTCTCCAAATCAGTAAGGGGAAAAACTCCTGTTGAGACATATATTCGCACACACACTATTTCTTTCCTTTCAAGATTCCTTTAGTGGGCAAAACAGCAAGTGAGCCAGAGGAGGTGTTTAGCATACCGAATCCAGAACACTCGGCCAACATTCAACCTTACAAACCATTTCCTTGTTCATCATTTTCGTCAAAGGCAAAGATGCAAGATATTCCCAAACATTGACTCAGAAAGCGAGTTGACATGAGTTGACCATTGGAGCAGCACTAAATGAACCCTTTCTTGAGCTGTGCGGGCGCACCTGCATACGCGCAGCCGAATTTCTTCGGCCCCAAACGTAGGTCATGAGGTCTGTCAATGCACCACTCACGAAGTACCTGGCCGCGTGCAACGACGTGAACATGCCCCGAAATTGGGATCGAGCCTATCGATTGGTTTTTGGGAAGTCACAGGAGGGGTCATTGCAGGTCCTTCTGCAGAGTGGCAGTTTCAACATGTGCAACAGAACGGCACAACGATTAAGCCTAGATGACCTCAGTGGAATCCATCATTTAACCAAACTCAAAGAGAAATGGTCGTTTTCCTCTCAGGTTTATGCCTGGCATTAACCTCGTTGCTCCCAATCGATGGCTTCTCTCATTTCGAGTCCCGGGCGTGTTGCCGAAGAAATACGTGAGCACCAGGAGCATGCCTTTGGGCTTCCGAGCAATTCTTTGCAGACCCCATGTGCACAACATCAACCCGGTTCGCAGCAGTTGGGATGTCTGAAACCCGTTGAATACCCCGGGGTACCTACAAACCGTTGCGAAGCGGAGGTTGTTCAGAAATTTCCAAACTACTCTGGCGGTTGGTTCCCCTGTTTTTCCACCTTTTACACACCCGCCACTTGCTCTGGGGTTTTGGTGGACATATTGGAGAAGTTCCCTTAGAAGATGCCTTTCGCGCCATGGCAAACAGTTGCCCCATTCTTGTGATACCGCTTAGCGTCCCAGATGCCAAGTTCATCACTCAGTGGATTCCCTTGGAAAGCAAATGTGGCCATATTCCCATCGCGAAAAAGGTGACCCTGGCCTTTCAAGGCCCGAGCCTCCGCCGCAAATGAGCATCCACAGGAAGTCTGCCGATCTCCTGAGCCGTTAGCCGTACTTTTTTCAAACGTCTCAACATCAACTCACTTAGGTTCAAACCTTGGATCGATAGGTGATAAACATCGCGAAGAGTGACCCCTTGCGTGGTTTGGCATCTCCGGGCTGAAAGCTACCTTGATCGCGCCTGTTGGGGAACGGGTGCGGAAAGGGCCGGAACGCCACTTTTCGTGACGTCAGTCTTGTGTAGGCGCAACACTTGGGCAAACGAAACTGCGTGGCAGGCTTCGTCACCTTCTCAAGGTTCAGTACAGATTTGGTGGCAGGCACAGCACATTCACAAGGTCAAAGGCACTTTCGAAAAGTCAGGCACATATTTTGTGACTGTACACAGCGCTTTCGCAAGGTCAGGTACAGATTTCCAGCACTGTGCAGCACTTTCGCACGGTCAGGTACAGATTTCGTGGCAGGCGCAGCACTTTCAGAAGAGGGATGAAGAGACGGATGGATGGATTTGGTCATCTACCTCTTCAATACATAGGGGCCACTTGGCACCCCCTATTTATAACCTCAGGGTGTTACTTGAATTGTACATGATTGACCCTTACAGCAATGTAGGAATGCCATGTGTCATACTTTGTACTGCATGTGAATGTCACAGCATGATATCTTTGTTTGTGCATTCCGCAGTTGCCACATTCTCATACTTAACCCGCGTTCTGAGAGAGAACATCCCGACGCATGGCTTAAAATACAGACCCATTCAAACGCAGTCCTGTGGAAGGCGCTCTCCTCCAGCGAGGAGCAATAGTATACCTGCCGAAACCGTTGTTTTCGCCGAGTGGCGCGCAAGCGCACTTTGATGGATGCACTGGGCGCTTGCCACCCTCACCTCTTAGACCAAAGCAAAAGTAGGGGTTCGAACATTGCTGCAAACCAGCGATCTGCCCTTTTCGTTGCGAGGCCTTGCTCGAACAAATTTTGAGCGGCGCACCAAGACGTAAGTGTTCCACACGAAGGGCAGGCTGAAGGTGCCGAAGAAAAGGAAGCACGTCACCAACCTGCCGGGGAAAATGCATTCAGCCCGGATGAACTTCGCAATGGAACTTTTTCGCAATGCAGGGTGTCCAAAACATGCGGCACGCCTCGAAAGACCCCTGCGACAACTCAGGCCTCCATAATTGCAGCTCATAAATGATAAGCTGCCAGTTGAGGTAGAGCGTGAAGGGCGACACCACGTCCAAGGAGCACAACTCGGCGCATGCAGATCTTGCACACGGTTCTGAGGCTCTCGCTACCGCCATAATCCTGCTCTTTGGCTCGTTGGACCCTGAAGACCAAGAAAGTCGGTCTCTGAAACGGAAAAAAACAAAAGGACCCCATGCCGATTTCTACCTTTCTGGTTTGGACATCATTTTTTGGATGAGCCTAAGCGCCTTCTAAGAAATGGTTTCCTTTTGAATGCTACCATTGTGCTTTTGCGTTTCACAATCAAGCAATCGGAACCTTTTCTTTTTGGGGTTTGAACTCCAGCTCCTTCTCAAGCCCTTTGGAAAGGCTATCCTCTAACGACCAAACCACCAAACCACCAAACCACCAAACCACCAAACCACCAAACCACCAAACCACCAAACCACCAAACCAAACCACCAATTAGCTGGCTGGTGAATGGAAGTCTCCAATTTGCTCGTTTGCTCGTGGGTAAGTGGATCAATGGTCATCCCCTGCTCTTCACTCGTCCCCAAACCAGCCAACTAGGGGCAACGTGAAATTCTTCCACTCATATGCAAATTTTATTTAAACAAATCCAAAAACTGGGAAAAAACGGATTCCCAGGCAAAGCACCTTGAAACCCTGGCCTTTCTGCTCGTTCTACCTCCCCCCCCCGCCCCCGGAATCGGTGAGCTCGCTCCACTCATCCGCGCGCTGAGTTGGCTGCTGCCATCGTGAGCACCGCTGCCAGGACCAACGCGCGGGTCACCGGGGGCATATGCCTCGCCAGGCATTGCATTCACGTGGGTCGGATTCACCGAAACGAGTGCCGTGCTTTGTTTTAGCCGGGAACCCTTTTCAGGTTGGGCACAAACAGGGAAACCCAAACAAAAGCCAAAGTGCAGTTTTGGGGTCACCCAATTATTAATGCCCTTTTGGACACATACCCATGCGCAAAAACCAGGGAAACCCAAACAAAAACCGAACTCCGCTTTTTGCGCGTCTATTTCGTCTTTTGGAGGCTCTCCGAGACTTTTTTTTCCCTTCTGGGTTTGATTTGAAAGGGAAACCAAGGGGAAACCAAGACGAGAACCTCATCAGATAGAAGCGAATCTACAACTTGGAGCCCACAAATACATCTCCCGTACACAGAACTGGGGTGAAGGGTTATCGTACAGCGGAGAAGCCTGAAGTTCTGCTGCAACATCCCGGGCTCCTGCGAGTTCACGCATTTGGCAAAACACATCGCGTCTGCCCAGTCCTGAACGCTCAGCGCGATCTGTTCGCCATCTGGATCAGCTGTCAAGCTGGTGCAACAACTGTTCCACAGGCAAGGGCAGTGATCGAGAAGACGTCAACCAAGGAAACCCATCCCAGCAAAACGGCGTTGATTTTGCTTGTTGCTCCAACATTTTACCTCGATGATGTGCTTTCTGTGCGCAGTTGGAGCGGCTCCGCTAGTGCTGCAGCTTGGCAGGATGGCCTTCCTTGTCGTGTGTTCAGCTGTCGCACTGGTGCAGGCTGCACGTGAAATGCCTTCGGCGAGCGTTCCAAGCAAAAGCAAATCTGGGGACGGTGTGATGCTGCAAAGAGAACACTATGGATAAAGGATTGCCATGAAAGTGCAACGGTACTCTATGGTACCCCCCCCTCCGGCTACAAAAATATTGGGCGTGCTTGCATTGAAGAATTATCCGCCCGTTCGCCTCATGTCTGAGGAAGCCCATTCGCCCTCAGGGAACGATTTGACATGCCTTACAATTTACCCCATTCCAACTTCCAGAGTTTTCAAGGGCATGATGCCAACCCCTGAAAAAAACAAAATCTACTATAGGAAGCCAAACCTTGCTTTTTTAGACATGCGTGTACCCTTTACCCCCAAAAAAGGAGGGTGCTGGGACGGGGTTGATTCGTTAAGCTGGCCCATCATATTTTTCCGGCGAGCCCCGCGTCGAGCAGCACGCGGATGCTCCTGAGCGGTAAAAAAGCTCATCGACGCACACCGCATATCGTCGACACGAGTCCTGGTTGGAAGCAGGCGTCTGTCTCCTGCGCAGGGTGTGTCTCAAAATAACTAGTTGGTTCTCAGCAGGGAATGAGGGAATGACCCCTATAAATCATCCATTGTGGTTTCCTTAACCCGACCCCTGGGTTCCGGCATTTTTTACTGAGCGCCAGCAAGATAAGGGACTCCCAAAAAGGGTCGGCTTCCTTTTGGCCTCCGCTTAAACCAACCGCAAAGAGGGTATTCTCCACAGAAGACAGGCGCATCTGAATGGGTTTCTCCATCGGTTTGGCTTTTCTGAAAGCCTTTAGTAAACTTTAGTTTTTTTGCCTTGGATGCCTCTGATCGCATTCTGTGTTTTTTGCGGTTCTAAAGTGCATTTTGCATCCGCAAACACAAGTTCTTGGACATGAATAATGCGGGCTAAGTAGACATAGTCATAGTCAGACTACAGCACTCTTCTTTCCCGGCTGCCAAGTGTTATGCCGCCTTGACTCCAGGTTTCAGCGCTGCTGAAATATCGAGCAAGATGTCGGGGCAGTTTTTTTTTCTTCTTCGGGAGGGGGGGCTGGAAGTTGTTTGTCTTGCACCATGGTAAACGGCGTTGGCATGCACTGTTTCCCAAAAAAGGAGCAGAAACCAATGTCAAGTCATGAGATAGTACGGCAACGGAGACTGGGGCAATGTTGAAAGCGGGTTTTGTGTTATTAAGTTGAGCCGTGCCGGCAAAACACTTGTGCGATATGCGTCTTCCTGCTTCTATCATGGCCATTTCCTCGCCAAGAACGTCAAACGATGGCGGCAACATGTGCCGCGACGCTCACCGTGCCTGCCACTCCATAGCATTCGCCGGGCGCTTTGAGATCACCTCGAAGCGGCCCGCGAAACGCGCGAAGACTGAGGTTAAAGAGTAAAGACCGGGTTGCCCGTTTTCTGATCTGCTAAAAGTCGAACACTTTTAGTGGGTGAAATGGACAATAACTAAACAGCAAAAAGCTAAAAGTCTTACACGGCTGGGAACCACCAAGTGAAGAGAAGAAACAAACCTGCAACCATGTCCTTACAGAACACTGATCGGCTCCGAAAGGACAAGCAAATTTGGTGATACCAGCTCCGCAACGGCTCCCTTCCAACCGCCTAGCCTGGGCATGGGTGTTGAACCTTAGGTCGCTGTCCTTTTCCCGGGTCAGTTGGTACCGTGACTCTTGGGGGATCCTTCGGTACCAACTGATCCGGGAAAAGGACAGCGACCTAAGGTTCAACACCCATGCCCAGGCTAGGCGGTTGGAAGGGAGCCGTTGCGGAGCTGGTATCACCAAATTTGCTTGTCCTTTCGGAGCCGATCAGTGTTCTGTAAGGACATGGTTGCAGGTTTGTTTCTTCTCTTCTCTTGGTGGTTCCCAGCCGTGTAAGACTTTTAGCTTTTTGCTGTTTAGTTATTGTCCATTTCACCCACTCAACGTGTTCGACTTTTAGCAGATCAGAAAACGGGCAACCGGTCTTTACTTGAAACAACCCCTTTTCTTGATTCCATGGTTGGGTTCCGCCTTCCTGTGCGGTCAGCAAGATGGCTCTTGAGAAACCCATCGTCTGATCCACCACGAGTCTTACACACACACACACTGACACTGGCAGCATTCCATGGGTCGCTGCCTCAAACCCATCGTCAGGGCCGAGTCGGACCACGTGCGCCTTGGTCTTCGGGCGGTGGACCCTTCAGCTGAAGCTTACCGCTCAGGACACGGAAGCATTGGCCCTTCTGCGATAGCAGCCGAAAAATTTGAAGGCGCCCATGGCCATGGAAGTCATGGAAGCGTCTTGTCTTTTTGGGTGACGCTGAGTGAATCAAACGAACCATCGACTGGACGTGATCGAACCCATTCGGGCCAGGGGCTTGGATGTCCGTTAGGAACGTGTCGCGAAAGAGGACACCTTCTTGGATGCTAAGAACAAAGCGGGAAACCAACCGGCTGCAGTCCTGTATCTTCAAGCCACAAATGAATTATTTAACTCCGCTTGATGAGCAAGGAAACGCCACAATCACATCCTGACCCTTCATTGAAGCAAGTCCAGATCCTTGTCCTTCCTTTTAGGTCTTCAACACCTTACTGCTTCAAGAAGCTCAGCCAGCATTTGAAAACATAAGATTAAGGTGTCAAGGAATCTAAACAAATCCTGAAATCCGGGAAACGGGAATGACAAGGGGCACAAAGGAAGCCAACCCACCTCGTTCCGGCCCCTAGACTTAGCGATATGGTCGTCTCCTCACATAGCCGCCAAGCAGCAACTGCGTTGAAGCACACGATCAAGAAGCCCTCCTTGCGGACTTTGGGCAGCCTGGCCAAACATGTCGCACGCGGGAAAACAAACACATCCAACTCCCTCTGGGTGTCTCTTTTTTTTTTTAGAGGTCCTTCAAAAATGGGTGGTTTCCTTTTGGTTTCCCTTTGAAACCAACTCCAGCCCTCCGCTCGGGGAGTCTCAAGCCCAGCAAGGCACTCCCAGAGAGCGGCTTCAGCCCGGTTCCCCCGTCAATGCCGGGGTTGGCTCGGCCATATGCCATAAACCCAATGCAACCCAGCGGAACCCATGTACCAAACTCACCCATCCAACGGACCTGCGCCAGGAAAGGAACCCATCCATTTACCAAACCGATCCAGGCCAAAAACCCTGTGAGAGATCGTCGCCTCACCTTTTTTGCCGCCGATCCGTCGCCTCCATGAACCACATCCCCACTTGCTCATGAGGATCCCGAACTCCTCGAACTCAATCCTGCCGAGTAAAATCAGTCCAGGTCTCCCAAGATCGGCCAGAAAAAGTCAGCGAACTCGCTTGCCACTGAACTGATCTTCTCAAGGATCAAGTCCAGGAACTCGAGTGGAGAAGTGCAACATATCTTGAACATTAATGAAGCGGGCACTGGAGTTCCAAAAGGAAAATGGCTCGGACACCCTGTAACTGCAACATGCACCCATACTGCAGTGCGGGACTTGCCTATGACTCATTCAATTGGGGAGTTCCCTGGCCTGTCTTGCGGTTTCCGAGGGTTACCGAAAATTGCCGAGAAAGAACACACTACAAGACATCGGCAACCCTTCAAATATCTTCAATTTTTTCCAAGCAAGCCCATAACGTTCGGATACACTCCCAGGCGAAACGAACCGCCCGGCTCGCTCAAGACCCGGGTCGCCGGGCCAGCCGTTCACGCGCTGGCCGTCATGCGCCTCATCCGTGTGCTTGTCCCTGTCAGGCCCCTTCAAGCCCAAGGTCTATAGCGACGCGTTTGACACCTCTTTGCTTCGGCCTTGAAGACCTTTCAGGTCTTGGAAAAAGAACTGTTGCCCGGCTGCGCCTGCATTTTCTAAAGATATGGTTTCCGCACCAAGGAGCGACAGGTTAAACTTTGTGCAGTCCTCGACCAAGTTTGGTTCTGTGTCGCATTGTGCAGTTCGTGTTTTGCGGGTAGCCCCTTGTTTCGAGGCTTGGAGGCACGCCAAAGGGTGAGGGCTGGAATATTCTGAGAACCCAGGACCATTTGTAGAATCCTGATGTTTCCCCTTTTTGCAAAATATAACATCGCAGTGTCGCTATGAAATCACAAACGCCCCATTTGTAATGTTGCCATGTTGGGCAGAAGATGTTTGCCGAGCCCTGTGCTGTTTGCCTTGCCTCGTCCCTGAAATAGAACATATTTGGCGACCCCAGACTTAGAGACCCGCTTCTTGGCTTCGGGAAACCAGTTTAACCACCCGCTGTTGGGCTTCATGAGACAAACCCATTTTGGCTCAGCATATCTCAGAGCAAGGGCCTTAGGGCAACCCGGTTTTCGCCTCTTTCATGTAACAAGGTTGGCCATTTTGGGAGAAGCCAAAGTTTGAAGAACCATACATGTATATGTATATATACATACATACATTATATACATTACAAAAACAAGCTAACAAACAAAACGAACAAACCATACACACACACATGCACATACATTCTTGGGCTTGATCAGGACCCATCTCCCCGCCCACTGCACGCAGGCTTCTTTCGCCAAGGCCGCGGCCCACGCCCAGCGCCCGTGCCACTCCGCGGGCAGAACTTCGCTGCTGCCGACCTGCCGACCCCGTAGCCTCGGTTTCACGCCGCGAAGAACTGGCAGAACTGGCAGAACTGGCAGAACTGGAAGAATTGGCAAATGAACAGAACCCAAAAGCCGGTTTTGGCCAAGTAGAAAACAGACTGGCTCCTTGTTTTCTTTCTCGCAGCTACCAAAAAAAGAAGATCGCCAAGCACCAAGCAAAAACCCTACCACTTGGAACCCCAAGACTCAACACATCCCCTAAACGGGCTCAAAACGGCTTGGCATTGCGGCGAAGCAGAAGGCGTGTCCGGCGCTCGAAGGGCAACTCTGGCATTGGGCATCCAGGCTCGAAGGGCATCCAGGTTGAGCGGCCCCACCTGTCCCAAGCCCCGAACTTCGCATTCCGCTTGGTTCCATCTGGTTGGTTCCATCTGCTTGTTGAAACATCTACTTCATGTGGTTGAAAACATCTGGCTGAGACATCTAATCTTCTCTTCTTTGTTTCTTTTCTGGTGTCCCTCATCTCAGGTTTTTGGCCCCCAACCCTGGGCTTCAAACCATGAAAAGAACGGGGGTTCATCTCACCAGCATTGTTCTAGGGCTGGATCCCTGATTTCCATTCTTTTCAGCCATCGTTCTTTTCTCACCGGATCCGTTCAAGAAAGAAGGATCCCTGGAAAGAATGGGGAAGTTGCCCCTGGAATCATTGGGAATCTGGAGTCCCCTCTCCCCATCAGATTCTGTGGTTGAAATTCTCTCCCCATCAGATTCTGTGGTTGAAATTCTCTCCCCATCAGATTCTGTGGTTGAAATTCTCTCCCCATCAGATTCTGTGGTTGAAATTCTCTCCCCATCAGATTCTGTGGTTGAAATTCTCTTGTGTCGCGAGTCCCGAGTTCATTGACGAACCTGCGGGGGCAAATGTTGATCTAGTTTGAAACGGGCTAGGGGGTTGATAAAGCGACCCGGGGGTTTATACATCAAGCAGAGATTTAACCCAGGGTTGACGATACCTTGAAGCTACTGCAAATGGGTGTAGGTGAACGCACACTCTTCGGGTTCAAAGACGAGAACAAAACCAAGAAGCATTTGTGGGGGGCGGGTGGGGGGGGGGGTGGGGGGTGGGGGGAATTGCGAGCTGCAACTTCCCAGCCTCCACACTCAGCTTGCCAGGTGTGTATTCAGGTTGAGCTTTTGGGCCGGGAAAGCCAAAGCTCAGCTTTCAGCCCGCGCCCACCCCGCCTGCGCTTGCCCGAGTCCTCAGCCAAGAACAGTGTTTTCTTTCCGTATTCGGTCCAGGGGCGCGTTTTGCAGGTCCTCCCCTGCAAACGGAGAAAGGCACCTCTGAAAATGGCATCTGCGCGGGCTCCCGCCATCTTTTGGCCGAAGCGGATTTTTTCCTTCTTTTTAATGGCCGGCCAAACGCTCGGTTTCCCAAAGGAGACTTGAAACACAGGCTCGAAACACAGGCTCGCGCGCAGTCGGCCTTGGCTAAGCTACAGCTGCCTTCGGACCTGAGAGCCGAGTCAAGGGGGGTCGGAAAACCGCACGAAAGGGGAAAGCAGCCTGGCTTTGGAACGAATATGGTTGAGAACTGGGCATCTGCAACACCTCTGGAAGCCCTGAACTCCCTCGCTGGAATCTCCTTTTGGGGGGACAAACGGGTGGCTCCCAGCAAGCGATTGACACGCTGACGAGTGATCCTCGGCTCCCGACAAAGTCCAGTATAACGCCTACCGGTCCGGCCACTTGCCGCACGGGTGTGGCTGAATTTGTGCGTATGTCTTTGGAGGGTGTGCCAGTTTTGGCGGTTTTGAAGGGGAACCAAAATGGGTTTGTCTCCCAATATGGGGAACAAGCTTAAGATTGTGGTTTTCCTTTTGGTTTCCCTTCAAAACCAAGGCCACAAAACAAGACACACCCAAATGAACACCACCATTTTGAGGGTCCCCCAAAAAGACACACCCACGAGATGTAGGAATTGTCCAAACTCCGATCACCACTGACAATCTCCACCTGGTAAGAGCATCACAACATCGCGTGCCAAAAAACATGGAACTCACTGGACGTTCCGGCCAAACATCTTGTCAGGTTTCATGTCAGTTGGTAAAAGGGTAACATACTCAGTTCGGGGTGCTGTCTATTGCCAATGCAAAGCATCTATTTTCAACTCAACTCACCTTGAAGGGCGGTGGGCTACAAGTTGGAAGCTTGGCGATGCACTGCACTTTTCCTCACAGCTTTGCTTTCGCCCCAAATCCTTTCAGCAGCCACTCGTGGCAAGCAGCGACGGCTTGAGGACACTCCTGCAGCAAGTTGTGGCCAGCCCTGGCGCGGCCAACTCTGGATCAACCTTCAAGATTATGTACTATTATTATACTAGGTCTGTATTAATATTAGTGGTATCAATCGAGTTCCCTTTTTTAATTCCTATCTGCTTGCTTCTTGAGTATCAGGGTTTGCCGGCCTCTTTGCAAGAAAGCTTAGATTAAGAACATTCAATTTAGGATGGGGCTCAGACTTGCTTCTATGTTGTTGTTGTTGTTGTTGTTGTTGTTGTTGTTGTTGTTGTTGTTGTTGTTGTTGTTGTTGTTGTTGTTGTTGTTGTTGTTGTTGTTGTTGTTGTTGTTGTTGTTGTTGTTGTTGTTGTTGTTGTTGTTGTTGTTGTTGTTGTTGTTGTTGTTGTTGTTGTTGTTGTTGTTGTTGTTGTTGTTCTTTTCGATTTTGAAGTAGACAGGCTTGGACAAAAGAGGGTCGCACGTAGCTGGGGGTTATCAGCTTGGTGAAGACTCATGTTTGGAGACCTTCTTGGTTTCCCGGGATGCTTTGTCAGAGTTGAAGTCAATGTTGGGCCCACTGGTAAAGTCTGCTATTGTTGCCCTCAAAACTCGAGGCTCAAAACCAATGAGACTGTTTACAGGTCATGTAGGGGGCAGGGTGGTGGTAGAGGAAAGATCAGGGTTTATTCGGATTGGTAATGATCATACTAATAGCAACAATCATAATAATGATAATGCTAATAAAAACAATAACAATAAAACAGCAATACTACTACTACTACTACTACTACTACTACTACTACTACTACTACTACTACTACTACTACTAATAACTAATAATAATAATCATCATCATAATCAAAAATAATAGTGACTGATAATAGTAATAATGATGAATAACCAGCAACACTATAAACATAAATAATAAAGGTGATATATTGTTATTAATGATACCACTCATAATAATCATTAAACTCGAACACACCGAACAATAACACTGATAAAACCACAATGACACTTGGCTTGTTATACAACCCACCCCGCTTAATCTGCAAGTTCCTGACTTACGTCTTCTTGAAAAGAGCCCGGCCGGCATTCTCCAGGCGGGGTGTACAGTCCAGGCCCAGATACTCAATAACAAGTTTTGAGAAAGGGCACGCAATTGAAGAAATACTTCTCCAGGCAAACAAATCCCACGGCTAAGCCAACACCAAGCCAACATATACAAAGAAACCCATTCTGAACCACGAAGCCAGCCTCAGTGGGGAGCGGAAAGGTCCACGTTTTCAGCGAGCGAAAAGGACCGAGCCGAAAAAAACCTACCTCAGAACCCAACAATTTGAGCAATCCCGTCAAATAGTTCTTTGCTTTGGCGGGGACTTGAAGCAGTGGCCACTGCAAAAAATGAAATTCAGGAGCAACTCCTTGGTTGCTGGCAAGACCCCTCTGCAAAAAACGGATTGCCTCTTTAAATTTCAACCCAAAGGTGCAAGTCTAAAGATCCGTTACCCAATATCATGGAACCCAAAGCTGTTCCTGAACCCCTTCAGGACTTAAGGGCTTATCCTTGGCTCAGCCTAGCAAGCTTCGATGCCGAGAAGCGGGGCATTTCGCCAGAACAGCTGACAGCTGACAGCTGATATGCCCGATGCGAGCCGGGATCGGTGCTGGCCTACCTTACATCTTGGTTGACGTTGGGGAGCAAACATTTTCAGATTTTTAGCAGTTGAGTGGTTGGAATTCAACCACCAAACCACAAGCAAACATGTTTCAATCTTGTTTCCCAACAAGAACCATGAAATGTTTCCAATTTGGGGATATTGGTCAAACGGACGAGCCGCCCGGGGTTTGGGTCCCCATGACATTGCGGACACATCGATTCCTCTCGCCTAAAGACCTGGAGCTCCCCGCTGAGCTGCTCCCGCAAGATCTCTCCAGCGCGGACCGGGGTCTGCCGATCTCCGTCGCCCTGGGACCCCGACCAAACCCCACTGTGGCCTGTAGGCCACCTAGGTCCTCCAGTAGAGAGGCTAGAATAAGGGTACCAACTTTTTTCTGTCGTCTATTGTTGTAGGGGATTCCATCCCCCAAACAAGTTGGTAACAGGGCACTACTGGGGGACCTAGACACGGTCTTTTTTGAATGGCCTGGTATGGCCTGGTGCCAAGAAGCAAACACACGTGAGACAAGACACCATTTTTGGACCCGAAATGTGATAGCCGTAACTCTAAAGAGCGAGCTCGTGCTGTGCATTCGAACACCCTAAGCCCGAGGCAAGCTCCTGCTATGCGCCCAAGATCCGTTTCCGAGCGCCGGGTTTCCGTCCAACGCTTTCTGCCGCTTTTGCAACTTCAAGCTCTTGCTATGCCAGACGTCGAGAGCTAAGTTCGAGGCTCAAGCTACGCCACGAGACGTGTAAAGGCACGTCAGCCGGGGACCCTAAGCCGGGAACTTGTGCTCAGCTTGTGAAGGCAATGCTAGAGCTCGCTTGGATTTCAACGTTGGGTGTTCCCTGAGCGCTGGTTTGAGTCGACTGTGAGCCTGCCATCAAAACAGCGACTGCCAGCTTCAAGTCTTGAGACAAACACGCGCGAGGCCTCGCGGCCTCCGTTTTTAAAAGCCAACAGCTGGAAGCGAGAGAGAGCTCTCACGCCGTCCGCGGTTCCTGTGTAACATGCGGAAAAAGGAGGTGAACAACCCAGGCTTCGATTTTTCTGGAGCTGCCACCCAATTGCACAAGTTTAGGTCCTCCAGTAGAGAGGTTAGAATAAGGGTACCAACTTCTTTTTCTCTTTTTGTTTCTGTAGTCTATTCTAGTAGGGGAACCCTCCCGCAAAAAGTTGGTAAAAGGGCACTACTGGGGCACCTAAGGTGCTCCCCTCCCCCGGCGAAAGTGTGGCAGTTGCCTCTTTGGAGGTCTGGGACAACTTCGACTCCGGCCTGCAGAATCAGCACCGGCACCGGCTTCGCCAGCGCACCTGCAGCGGAGAGTTGTCTCCGTCGCGCACGACGAATTGGTGTAGACGAGCCGTATGAATCAAATCATTTTGTATGGTTTCAACATGTTCATGAAGCATGCGTGTTTTTGTTGGAAAAAAACACGTATGACCAGTTGTTTGGTCACAGGCGTATGACCAAAAAGACATTGGGGTCCCAGGTGGCTAGCTGATCAACCGAAAGGATCACACCCGTTTCAAAATATCTACCCACAAAAAATAATACCCATACCTGCAAAACTGACTTAGCCCAGCAGCTCATATTTCTTGAGTCCTGTTGAAAACAACACACACCAATGTCCAAACGCTGGGAAGCTGTCGTGCTAAGCCGTGGGCATTGGACAAGTTCTGGGCTTCGCGCGTCTGGGCGGCAGGCGACTCTCCAAGTCCATGCCCGCGATCTGGCGCTGGACGTGGGCGATGGCAGGGAAGCCTCCGCGCTCCGCGTCGTCGGCGGAGGCCTCGCGAGAGGTGTGTCAGCTGTGTCCGAGTTTGTGTTTTCAGGATACCCTTTTCAGGTTGGCTGAACCGGAAACGACATGACAAACACCCTTTAGAGGGTCGCCTGTTTTTGATCCTTGACACGCACACAGACACACGTCGGGGCAACCAATCTAGCCGGTGCGTGTGCAAACAATGACCGAGTCTTGCTTGTAGGGCTTCTCCTTCTGCCCTCCCCAATGAGTCGCTGTGAACCATGTTGTTGACACCTCTGCGTGCCTTTTTTCTAAACTTTTTGTGGGTCCAAATATCATGGACGGCCATGGGGAGAGGGGGCTATCCCATGTGAACCCCTTAATCAGGCCGTATTCAGGCCTTATCCTTGGCTCATCCGTGGATACCCCTCCGCCGTAGCCCTAGAGGGGTCCATGTAAAGGAAAACCGCCATTGGGGGGTCCAACCTTGAAAAGCAAGTTCAAGACTTTGATTCATCAGCCTAGAAAGAGCCTCAAAGTCGGGGTTGACCAATATTTCTGCCCCCAAAAGTCCTTGGGCATCTTTTTCCCATGTGGTTGAAGTATCGACTCTTCTTTGGTGGTTTCCCTCACCTCAGGTATCACGGGCCTTTTGATCAACCCCCAACCCTGAGGTTCAACCCATAAAAAAAACAAAAAAACATGGGGGTTCATTTGAAGCCATGGCTTACCAAACCACCACAAAAACCACCGTACTGTTCTGCGAATCGTCCTCCCAAAGTTGTCATCCCAGTCCATCGCCCCATCTACTCCAGAATCCCAACACGACTTCTCCCTGGCCATGGCTGCGGTTGTCGAAAATCGGAATGCCCCAAATGGACCCTGGTTGGACACATGGTACCCAAACCTGCGGTTTGCTGGTTCAACTTTGACCCATACCCATATCTACGCACTTCTCCCCAGATGAACCCTGCCCAGTCCAGGCGATTTGCGCCGCTCTTTGGCGCCTGCCAGGCGGCCCGGGCCCGCGCATTCACGCGGC